TATTCCTTTATATACTTACTATCTTTCTCGTTATCGTTATTTAGAATATTTAATATATTATTAATAATATAGTCGTTTATTAATAATTAGAATAATCGACTTTAATTGATATAAAATTCTTAATAGTTAAGATGATATCTAATTAAATAGACTAGCTAGATCTTGATATATTAATAATATATATAAAATCTTCGCTAATATTTATAACTAGATTCGCTTTCGCTTCTATCTGAAGAGGAGGGTTTTATATTTAATATCTAAAGTTCTTAAGATAGAGAGAGAGCCTTTAGATTACTTTCGATATGTTTTATATTTAGCTAATTATATAGCCTTTATATTTATATTAATATCTCTTAACGCGAGATATATCTATCTAGACGTATACTTTAGCGATTAATATTTTTTTTATTATTATTAGTTATAATAGATGAGAAGATAGAGATTTAAAATTTATTATATTCTCGACTGAGTAGAGGGTAGAGTTATTTAAATAATTCTTTCGATATCTATTATAAATGGTCTATAACTTAACGATTTAAAGCTTTATATTAAATTCGATTTCTTAATAAATATTATATATCTTTCGCTTTAATTTATCGAGTTTAATATAGAAATTAATAATTAAATTTTAGTTTTTTATAAAGTAAGTCGAGGCTGAGGTTTTTTTATTTCGAATATGAGACTATAGTATTTCTAGCGAAATATCGTTTTTAATTAAGGCGGATAAGATAGTTAGTTAGTCTTAGATTTATTTAATTATATAGTAGTTATAATATCGCCTCTACTCTTTCTTATTATAAAAGAAATATATACGTAGAATATTATACTTTTTAGACTTATATCGTTATATTTAGACTCTATAGATATTATAAATAAAGCTTAGATATAGTACTACGGTGTTTAATAGTTTATAAATACTATATATTTTATAGCGAATAGATATAGGCGTAGAACTTGATATAGGCGTAAGAGAACTCGAAGAAGTTACTCTACGATGTATTGCTTTTATTATCTTACGCGTATAATATTTCTTTTAATCTCTTCGCTTACGTAGTAGATAATTCTAAATAATCTCTATCTCTCTTATATATTTTTCTTATTCTATCTCTTTTATATACTTTTAAACTAATTACTATTATCTTCTCTTTCGCTTAGAATTATTCTTCGTAATCGTAATAAGAGGATTGAGAAGCCGGGTAATAATAGTATTAAGATTAATTTTATTAAATAATCTTCGCTTTAAGGCTGAGAGGGGGTATAAGGTATTAGAAGTAGCGAGTAAGAACGTAGAAGAGTAATAAGGATAATTTTGAAGCTGTTAATTAAATATTCGCGATTATATCTAATTAGTTATTTAACTAATAGATATAGCGAAGATAATTTAATCGGAGAAGGCTATATTAAAAGATATTCTCGTAATTAGAAAAAATTTGATAGAAAAAATTCATATAGCTTTAATTAAAAATCGTCGAACTTTACTTAAGTAAGAGTATTAAATAGTTATTTTCCTTACTTTTAGTATATATATTTTAATATTTAATTAAATGTTATTTTTATAGACTTATATAAAAGCGCTTAAGTAGATCTATAATTTTAGTAATCTACTTTTCTATTATATAGTATATAGTATTTAAGAAATTAAAGAAAGATATAAATAGTATTTTAATAATCGGGGTTCAGTCTTATAATGCTTTCTATTTGGGACGTACCCGTGTTTAGATCGAAAACGAAGAAATAAGGTGTATTTTAGACTGAAAATAGTGAAATCCGATGATCTAATTGGTCACTAGCCTCTTAGCGTAGCACCTATTCTTATTTTGAAGTCTTGAGCATTGAGAAAGCAAGCTTTTTAATGAGTTAGGGCTAGGGTTAAGTGGAGCAACTACAAATCTCGGGACCACAAATCTTTGTCTGGCGGACACTGATTTTTGAACAATCTAGTGAGTTGAGCTTTTTTGTAGATACTTCTCTTCTGGAGATATCGTAGGCCTTTTCACCTATCAGCTGTGAAATACTTTGAACCCTAGCCTGATAGAAACCGGCCTCTTCCTTCTGCCTAGCCCAGCTCGAATGACGAGCTTCGCTTCCTTTTCCATCAGCACCACTAACGCCTGCCAAAGCATCATCATGAAGCATACACTGCCATAATGTCCCCACAGACGGCGAAAAGAATTCTTTCCACCTTCCGCTTCCCCCTGCACAGAGTGGCGGCAACGGGAGAAAAGACGCCCGCAGGCCTGCCACCATATATAATTTTCCATTGTCCGCCTCGGAAGCGAGCTCCTACTCTAGCTGGCACCGACTATCCGGCGCGGTAGCGCTCGCCATTTTCTCATCAGGGTATTTGCAGAGATCAGAACAATCATCTACGGGAAAGCTTTCGGCGGCGGAGTCTTACATCTTGGGATTTCAGATAGGCGCCTACTGCGTTGGGTATGCCGGGAAGATCGAGAGTTCAAGGTTGTTTTGAGTATGAGCGGGACGGAAGGCATACAATTCTGCCGCTGTACGACGCATCCAAGGACAGGACATTTTACTATCTTCCTGGAGCTGCTACCGTTTTCTTTCATTGGTCACTGATAAGCACGGATTCTGCATCGCGAGCACATTATGAACAAATGTTGGTCTATTATATGATTTGATGTCTCTACAGTATGCATCAGACTCGCGCCCTTTTCCAACCATTCTTGGATACCCTGCACGCCATAAGAGTCATGCAGCCCCCTATCATGACACTTCCAGCAAACATCTGCGCATACAGATACGAGCCATCTCTTCTCTGTATCAAAGCACCAGCCAAAGGTGGTCCCGTCAGACATGCAAAGCTGACAACGCTGAAGACCATACCCATGCGAACACCCGCCTTCTTCAGATCGGAAGTCAGACCCGCCAGTGTAGCTGGGAACAAGCTCTGGATGCCGGAGGCGAAAAGTCCATATATCACAGCAAAGCCAACTAAACCGCCCTTCGATCTGACAGCTGACCAGCAATAAAGCAACAGACCCGAGATGAAGGCGAAGGGAATGATGGTGTTCAATGGGCCGAAATAGCGGTCTGCCAGGTGGGCAGGAATGAGCCGGCCGAAGAGTCCAACGCCGTTCAGAATCAAGAGATCGCTGATTGCTTCAGCTTGGCTAATGCCGAGAATGTCGCGCCCGAATGAACCAATGTAGTAAAATGCGAAGTAGAGTCCCCAGAAATTGAGAAACATAGCGATTGCAAAGAGAGCGTAGGGAAGTTCTTTGAAAGCTCCCCATTCCACGATAGGCCCAGTCTTGCGTGGAGGAAGGCGTGGTTTTGTGAACGTGAGGGTTACAGCCTGCACGGCTAACATAACGAAGCCGACGACACGGACGGTCCAGGGGAACCCTAGTTTGGGGAGGAGTTGTCGAACGATCACTGGGAAGACGACGCCGCCTGTCGCACTGCCGGCGGCTGCAATACCGATCGCTAATGACCGTTTCCTACTGAAATATGTAGAGAGAAGAGAAAGTGCCGGACAGAAGATGAGCCCGTTTCCGAGCCCGGTGCAAATTCCCTGGGCCAAGAATAGTTGCCAATATTTGGTGCTGAGGGAGGTCATGAATACTCCGATCAACTGCAAGATCGAACCAATGAGAAAGGTTATCCTGAATAGGCCATAATCTGTGGCTCGTCCGGAGAAAGTGCCGACAAAAAAGAGCAGAAAAATCTGGACTGAGCCCACCTGTGCAGAGTCCCGAATCAGCATCTTTTTCTACGGCAGCAACTCGGCTTATGGTGAGAGTAGGATCTCTTGTGACCCCCAGTTCAGATCCAACGAAAAGTACGTACCCAAGATATGTCTGACGGAGGGTGGCCCAACGTGGCGACATAGTAAGTCTGAAAGACACCGAATGAATTGATATAGCCCCACGTATTGAACACAATCAAGTGGCCCATAAGAACCTGAGTCCACGCCGCAAGACCTCCATCCGGCGGTGGTCCTGGATCAATTGAGATACGAGATGTCGTTCTGCTGAGAACCTTGGCCAGCACACCTCCCGGACCAGGCTCGTCGATGGACTTGACTCCCATAGCCGGTGCTTCTTTGGGGGAGGGGTCTATCTCCGGTGAATCGACACTGCATTGCCCCTCTCCGTCCGATCTGCTTGAGCTTTCTCGTTCGCCATTGTGGACGTCTTTCTCCGAGTCGGCCGCGGTGGAGTCAACTGCATCCTTAGGCATGCTAAATTGCAGATGCTATCCGGTGTAGGCTATGTAGACCTAGGTAATTAGGTTTGCCAAAGAAGAGCGGGCGGATTTGTGGCCCAAAAGAGGGGTTGTCCTGGATCTTGATCAAGTGCTGTCTATCCAGGACCTTCTCGTGATACTTCAATTTCTCGAGTACCAGAAAACCGGGCAAGCAACAGCAATGGCAGCAAAAACATTGTGGGTTATACAACCGCAAGCTCTGGTATGCTTGGTGATTGAGAATATTACTAATGGTGGAGTGACTCAATCGTGCTCAGGATTTCGGATCTCGGCAACCTAACACGGGGGTCAACCTCAAAAATTAGCGAAAGTACTAGCCCTAACCCTACTTTTAAAAAACCTCCCTTTAGAAATATCGTATAAATTGATATCTTTCTAAGATATGATAGGAAAATTCTTTCAAGCGTATTGTCTAGGTAACGCTTTAGATAGGATATTATTTAAGACCTTAACGTAAGAGTCTTAGCGTTTAGAATTTTCGATATAAATCTTTATACTCTGTAGAGCCATCGTATTAATTTTAATAGCTTGATATATGAATTGAGAGGTGGCTATGAAATATGGTTTTGCGAATTCGCGGGGTTGACCCCCCTGTCAGTATGGGTTGCCGTAGGCACGACACGAACCGCTAGGCCCATGGCGCCAAAGCAAACGTTCTCAACTGATTTCCTGTTGACCTGCTTTCAGTATCTGATACTGCCAAGAAACCATGAGTCGACTCCCAGCTTGTGCAGCACTGGGAGACGGCCTCCAGCTCGTACTGCATCTTACGCCGTCTGCAACCCCATCCCTTCCTTTCTGACCCCTGCTACAAAGACAACCGGACCCTTGTAATCCCTCCTCCCCTGCACCAGGTACGACACCAATGCAATACCCAGCACGCCGCCCCAGATAGCAGGGCCCCAATTTGCAGTACTCGCGTCGACCGGCACGCTGACTGGGAAACAGCTAAACACGAGGGTAATCAGCGAATAAAAGAACGCGAACAGATTGACCGGCAGACCCCAGCGACCGAGACTGAAGCGCGCGGGTGGTAAAGGTTCGTGTCGGAATCGTTTGAGAAGGAGACAGCCGATGGAGATCAGGTAGGTGCCGAGAAAAGCGATTAGGTTGAGCGAGATTATGATGTTGAAGGCTACTGTGCTGCCGAGTTGGATTAAGCAGAGGATGAAGGAAAGGAAGGAGGTGGTGAGGACGGCGTTGAAGGGGACGTTTTGGCGGTGGTGCACCTATGAAAGAAGACGGATTAGCAAACAGTGGAAAGGGATAATAAGACAGACTTACTTTTGAGATCCAACGGTGGCCTGGGGTGCCTCCGTCTCTTGCAAATGCCCAGACTTCCCTGGAAGTGGTTGCAAGGGATGTGATGTTTGCAGCCCCGATGAGAAGGGCCAGAATGACTGTGAGCGCAACGTTGACGCCCGTGGATCCAGTATTCGCAAATGAATTCTGGAAGGGTGAGGATGCGTTTATCGCATCTTCGAGGCTGCCAACGGTGAATAGCATTGTGATCATCATTGCGAATCCGAGGGCTGCATATAGTCAGCATAGGCTTATCTTGACTAGCAGAGGCAGAATCTACCTGCATTGAGGAAATAGCTCACGACCATAGCCCACGGAATAACGACAGCGGCATCTTTTACTTCTTCGGCTAGACAATTCTTAGCTATTGCTATCATACCGGTTTTTCTCAACTTACCAATATGAACAGCGGCATCCGGTCCCAAGTTCGAGAAAAGGATTGTTATCGTCCCCACCATAAACGAAGTGCCAGCACTACTCCAACCACCTCCATTGACAACTGGTCCGAAAACATCGCTAGCCGAGTTCTTCGGCGCCAAAACCCAGAGAGGTACGATCGTAATAACAAATCCAGCCAGATGGAACACCAGAGACACAACCTCAATCGCAGGCAACAGCCTCGCTCCCCAGGTATTGAAATAGATCGTCGTTATGAGGAAGAATATCATCACCAACGTTGACTGCCAATTCGTGAAACTCCATGAGGGATCGTATACCTCGACGAGCGCTTCAACGAGAGTTGACATGATGAAGTAGCCACTCGCATTTCCCGTGAGCCATCCGAGCGCAGATGTCCAGCCAGCTGCGTAGCTGAGGTATTTTTGATAGCGAGGCGGGCTGAATTCGGATATCCAATGATACTGTCCGCCCGACGTTGGAGCCATGGATGTCATTTCCGCCATCGTAATCACGACTGAGCCAAAAGCGAAAGCAGTGAAGATGTATTCCCATACAAGTCCTCCAAAACCTCCATTGATCAGTCCGCCAGAGACGGAGACGAGGATGTACTCCCAGGTACAGAGATACATCGAGATAAAGCCGAAAGTAGCGAGAGGGCCGAAGACTCTTCTATACTCTTGCTTCTTCCCCAGCCGCCGCATATCGCCGCGATCGAAGATCGTGTGCCAGGGGTTCTGGTAGGCATCCACAGCTTCCGGCGGCTGTTCTTGCTCAAGCACTTGAGTCGCATTTTTGAGCTCGATGTCACCCGTGGGCGACGACAGCGACGTTGACGGCGATGGAAGAGACATTTTTCGATGGAATATGTATAATTATGCACTACTGAGATGGAGAGGAAGAAGGAAGAGAAGGAAAAAAGAAATCCTGAGACTTGCTTAGCAAATCTTTACTCGTTGTGCACCATCAACTGGGAATACTTTAGCGTGCATCAGGCTGCATGTCGAGGGACGGGAACCGCTCTAGACTGTTGCAAGATACGATACTCGTATTCACTAGGATTTGCAATCTTCAAAATCTAATTCTTATAATTTATTATTCCGCAACAATATAATTAAAAACTGGAAATAAAAAGGTAAAAGAACATAAAATATAATCGGGCTTAAATTGATAAAGTTGTATTGATTGATTGATTATCTATACACGTGTCTATCCAACCTATAAAGGATACTTACGGGCTACTCCGTAAGCAATTTCTTCGCAAGGGAAACCCTGCACGATATGCTCGTGTTGGGGTAAAAACCCATGCTTCCCCCGCATGTGTCACTGTTCTTGTGAATAGCTTCAAACCACATCCGTTCCCCTGATTGGCAGCCTCGTAAGCAGTTTCTTCGTAAGGGAAACCCTGCACGATGTGCTCGTGTTGGGGTAAAAACCCATGCTTCCCCCGCATGTGTCACTGTTGAATACGAGTGGTAGCAAATTGCCGCATGCGTTTGGGCCTCCGATGCATCATACCTAGCTGGAAACTTTGCGTTGATTTGTTTACCGAGGTCTGCATCGAAAGCCCTGCATCTGCCAAGACGCCGATAACACTAGCGCCAAAATCTCGGATGATACCCCGCATGAGAATATGCCTGGGCAATGCACTGACATCTGCTTCGTAATTCCGCCTAAATTGAGCTCAGTTGTAGACTCGGGTCATTGCCTCTGTCATGCCCAATAGTGATTCCTAGATTCCAATGCGCTCCCGGGAGATACTTCTAGGGCCCCCGCTACAGTGCCTTCCGAAAGTAGGGTTAGGGTTACTAAATCTTGGCGTCTTGGCATGCGCAGAACTTTTGGTTCGTATATAATTTTCTCATATGTCAGAAGTCCCGACTAGAACAACTGATGTCAATTAGCCATGCGTCAGCAATCTGTCTCGAGCTATGTTTGATGCTCGTCTACATTACACCATCATTAAGTCATGGGGATAAAAAGGCAAGCGGCTCACCATACTGGGTGGAAGAGAGAAAGAGTCCGAGTCTGCATACCGAGGAGAGCCTGAATGGGTCGCAGCTTGTGAGTTGCAGGGAGGGACTTGGTGCAGAGGGTTTATATTTGTTGCGCTGAACGATGTTTATGCTAATGCCACCCGAGATTGCGTATCTCACTTCTTCTTTTTGTGCAATTCATTCCAGACCACGGCGCCCGATTGAATGGTCGCTTTTGGGGCCAGTGGAGAGGCGCCGGGGAGTATGGTACAATTTTTAATGGTGGAGTGGCGGCGGCGCCGTTCACACTCTACTGGGATGGAGACTTGAACGGGTTGGTACCTTGATGAGCTGCGAGGAAGCAAAGCGCCCTACGGAAACGTGTGCAAGACAAGGAACGTGGGTACGCGACAAGACAATGAGGCCACAAGGGCAGCTTCTGACAAGCTTGCCTTAGGTCTCGATCATTTGCCAATAAACACCATATGTTAATCCTCCTGCTCGCTCAGCAGCCTATCGAGCGCGACTCCGATATCGTTTCCTTTGCCATCGGGATATGCTTCGCCTGATGGTTGTGAGAGAAGAACAGTAAATAGGAGCGAACGCAAGATAAGATGACAAAGGAATTATTCATGATACTTACCGAGTATTGGATGCACGATTACGCCAGGGGCAAAAACATCCAGACTACGCTCCTTCATCCAGTTGTCTATCTTGTCCCATTGGACGCATTGGTGGTGGCCTTCGTCTAAGCCTATTGGGACTCGTGTTCTATCATTGGAGTTAGAAGCGTCATGCATGGTGGGGAATACGGAGCATACGTTGCGCCCCACTGCATTGGGAGAATGCTTAGGTCCGCGTTGCACTGGACAGTCTGGAGCAAAATGTTGAGGCAATGCTCTGTTTTGTCTCAGCTTGGTGTTTACAAGACGACTAGTCTGGACTTACGGCCGTGATGCTTGATCAACATCGACTCTTGATCGGTTTTGTTGGGATAGTAGTGGTCGAAGTACATGAGGTGATGCAGGCGTTTGACACCTAGGGCTGTCAGTCGAACATCGCTGTACTTCTGTTGTATACTGACAGTGTAGGGAGTGATAGACTGATAAAGTAGCATAGTACCCCGACCCATCGGCAAGTTCAACAAGACCTGGTTTGTCGCGATACTCTCCAAGCTCCTTTTTTGTGAGACGAATGTTTTGGTCTGATATTTCTCAATTAGTACCAATGCTCACATCCAGAGATTGGTGCAGCAATTCTCACATTGTATGAGCTCTGCCCATGCAAAATCTGACTCGGGCGAAGGTGGCCCAAATTCCTTGTGCAGCCGGTTCGGGTCGGCTGAACCGTTCCTGAAGAAGATGTTCGTGGTATCCCACGTTTGTGCCTCGTATGCTATGGCGTCTAGTGCTGGTGCTATGCAAGATATCGTTAGGTACTGGCCCTCTCTTGAGAAATGAGCTTACTGTAGACAAGGCTTGGTCCATACACTCCGAAAGGACAGTGGTTTCTGGGCCATTGCCAGATCGCAAGGCAGAACACGAGGTTGAAAGTACAGAGTACAGAGTGGAAGACGGTTGATTTGAAATGTCGGCGATAGAAAGGCTGTTGAGGCCGAAGTGGTAGGTCCTTCTCTAGAAAGCGATCATTGTCGGAGACACTGCTGTCACGATCGTCATATTGCTTGCTGGAGCTCTCAGAGTCCTCTGCTAAAATTGTGTAATGAGCCATCCGCAAAGATTTTCAGCAGGGAGAAGCGGGTTGAGAAAGCTGTCCTATCAACGGAGGCCCAGCGGGAAATGATTATTCGACAGTATAGCAAGAGTCTGTCGGTGTGGTCTAAATGAGATGCCTTGAACAAAATATCATTCATCAGTAGATGTTCCGCAGTCTCAGGCTATACAAGGCTACACAAGACTATAGAAGCTATTAATGATGTCAAGTAGCGAGCTTTACGCATCAGGTATATCTTGCCATGTTTGAGAGACTTTTCTTGTGTCGGAAATGCTCGAGAATGCAACATAACGAAGGACTGGACAAGTCCTGTTCAAAGAATTGCGTGATTGAGGGTTGAGGTGAGACGCAAACCGCCAAATTCAAAATCCAAACCCTGCTTCGTGCGACTGGAGAATCTCAACCTGTTCCACGAACCTTCTTCATCTTCTCGCAGCTCTCGCTTCAAGGCAGTAACTTCAAAGTTCTCCATACGAAGCACCCAGTGCAACGGCGTCCAATTATACTCACCGTCTACCGGCAGATACTCCACTTCTGGTTTTCGTCCTGTATGTCCTGTTTGCGCCAGTTTCAAACATTGCAATGTGACGTTGATGTTGTCTGTCAATGAAAGACGGGTATCTACAGCAGAGACATGGTCGGAGCATCTGTATTGATGGATCAGCGCGTTGTCTACCAAGAAAGGAAGCTCTGAACGCCTACGAAGCACCCAGTAGAACGGCGTCTGGAAGATACTCTTCTTCTCTTTTCGGCCTGCATATCCACTTCTCGTTTTGCATGTCTTCCTCGCTTTGATTTCAAAGACTGCAAAGAGATGATGATATGACCAAAACGGCCCATACAAGCGAGCACGATTTCATCGAAGCAGATGATGAAATTGGTAACGCTCCTGTAGCTGATCAGATGACCTAGACCGCAGCTCATGCATCCGATCAACCGAACAAGCCGATCTCTCCAGAACGAGCACGGGACTCTCATGGAAGCAAGACGACAATTCTTCATGCAAGTACGACGGCTTTCATTAATGCGAGCTGTTGAGACATTGAATCGTACAGCTTATCGGGTAGCCACGATCGACAGCAGCTTTCGAAAGAGACCCGCAATAACAAATTTGTCTTCATCAATTGAAACGCAGCGACGATCGAATGTCCGGGTAAGTGTTGCAGCCTGACCGTCATTCACAGTCGATACTAGTCCAATTCGTAGCTCGCACTAAACTTCGTGACCTCTGCGCCTGGCATTTCGAAGCTGCCCTCGTCAAGCTTAAATATCTTATCAATTCCCCCTCTCTAGTCTCGAAACCAAGCTTTTCACCCCCTCCAAGCAACCAAATCACAGCAACTACACAACGGTGACCCCTTACCGGAATTCTCTTGCAACGTCGGTCAAAGTCAATCAACATGCAACCACAGAAGATTCTCTCTCTTATGGCGCTCTTCGCCATTGGTGCACAAGCTCTACCTCCGCTTCCAAAAGGTGCGTTTCTCATTTAGAGCAACATGATACACAAGAACGACTCACCAATACTTGCTAGCAAACTCTATGACTGTCCGTACTGATGCGGACGAAGCCTGGGAAGGGGGGACTGAGAAACGCACTGATGCGGACGAAGCCTGGAAAGGGGGGACTGAGAAACGCACCGATGCAGACGAGGCCTGGGACGGGAAGCTCCAGCCTCCCCAATAAATGCGCTGGTGCAGATGAAGCCTCGGGAGGGAAGACCGAGAAAGTCTAGTGTGGTGGAGTTGAAAAGGGCTTGGTGAGCCATTTGGGCAGAGCGCTCTAGCAGTAAAGTTGGGAGGATCCCTGTGAGGGGTCGGTGACTCTATGATTTGATGTCCGTTGTTAGTAGGTCTAGAAGAATCTTAGAAGTGCTACCGATACCTCTTTCTCCTTTCATTTCATAGTAAGAGAGGTTGGGCATTTGTCCCAAACGAGTATTTAGTATAGCAGAGCTCCTCTCTTCTTAGATATCGAAAGCAGCATTGGTTCCGAGTGCACCTTCTTCAGATATTCGATGCCAACTCTAGGCGAATTCTACCTCGGGCGCTTGGAACATTCCGAGCGTTACCAATTGTAGCTTAGCCGCTATGATGACGTATCCTTCCTCTCTTTTCCTCTTTCATTCTTTCTGTCATTCAATCGATCACAACGACAATATCATCAGCTTCTCTTTCGCTCCTTTATCGAATCCTTTGGCATGAACCTGAAGCAGATCTCCGAGCCCTAACAAGCTCAATGGGATCGGTCTTGCACTGTGGCCTAAAAACCAGCAGACATTGACTCACGACCAGACTACTGCAAAGTGTCTTGAGATGGTGGACGGGAATTGCTACTGGACCTGGATACGAGCTTAGCAAGAGAAATCCTCTCCATTGCAGCTCCGTGTTTACGCATGACGGTTGCCTCTCTGGATTGAGCCTTTCTTTGCCATCATCCACACCATCCTTCTACATATCTGGCAGTATTGCTGGGATGAAATCCCTGACTTCAAAGCCATTGCCTATTCGTCACTCATTTGGCTTTTTAGCTAGGAGAAGATCCTTTGCACTCTGTACATCACTTAGTTGGCTTTTTAGCTAGGAGAAGATCCTTTGCACTCTGTGCACCACTTGATTAGCTTGTTAGCTAGGAGAATGTCCTTTGCATTCTATACACCACTTGAGTGGCTTGTTAGCTAGGAGAATGTCCTTTGCATTCTGTGCACCACTTGAGTGGCTTGTTAACTAGGAGAAGATCCTTACCACTTGATTGGCTTGTTAGCTAGGAGAAAATCCTTTGCACTCTGTGCACCACTTGCTTGGCTTCTCAGCTAAGATTATCCCCTGTGCGGGTTATTTGCTTGCGCCATTGGTATGGCTTTTTAGCTAGGATCAAAGACTTCACGAGCTTTTGCTTGCTGCGTTGGTACAGCTTTTCAGCCAAGACAACGTCCTTTGCAATCCCGTGAACCACTTGCTTGGCTCCTTGGCTATAATCATCCCCTTTACAGCTGCCAGGATGTGAAAAACCAAAAAGTCCGACATTCAATCAGCGACCATTGCCATCCTACCAGTAGTCTTTAAGAGCTGCCATCTGCCAGTGTGGCCGAATTGAGGAATCTGTCGGACTTCCTCACCAATCAATGGCACCACCGCAAGCACAGAAACTTCCACTTCAACGGGCGACAACTCGCTGAAAAGCATCAGCGTAGCGGATCTTGACGCCTACTCTTTTCCGCTCTATCAACCAGCCCGCCGCAATCAATTCCTACCACCACCTCTTCCCACAGTCGGCGTAAGCCCGCTCCCCACATTTCAAGCATCCCAACCTTCTAGCCTCATCTCACCCTCAACGGCCTCCCTAGCCGACATCTTGACCGTGGCGACCCTCACACACAAAGCTCTGGCCTACTTCCACACGCACCCCTACTAAAATATCCTCATAGACGTCAACCGCAAGCCAAGCGGCAGCATCGAAGCCGAACATGGCATTTTTCGTCAAGTCTTTTCACACGCATCACCGTGCTGTGGGCGTTGGATGCGGTCCTCGCCGCTTCTGGAACAACTGAATACGACATACGCCGCATTCGACGATAGTACGGGACATGGAACGACGCTCAATGCTGTATTTTCCGTGCAGGAAAGGAAACGGAATGTCGTGGTCTTCAGTAGATACTTTGCTCGGCCCTGTGCGCAAGAATGGCGATATTCTTATGAGTCCGTCCGGCCAGAACAGACCTTCAGGCTTTGCTCGCAGCACAAGAATTGTACCACATTTCGGTCACGAGAACGCGGAGCGCCGTTCGCCACTGAAGATGTCATGTTGCTGAGCGATGGTCTCTGCAGCTCTACCTGCGCTCAATCTACGCAAGCGATGGAAGAGCAGGCTATGCAAAGTGTACGTTACGACGGACGTGCTGGAATCAAGATGTTGCAGGTGACCGACCGGACCAAAAGGTGAGTCGTCACACATCGCACTTTACGAGAGGAGTTCATTTGCAGAATCTAACGGGCTCACAGCTTTCGTATGACTTCTGGATCTGTAAGGCATTCGACGTCGAGCGCATGAACGTGTGGCACAGGCATTGAAAGTTTCGACTTGACCATGTGCTTCACGAGAACTGTATTGAAGGACAACGCTTGAGTGCTAGGGAACGAAGATGAATCGGAGGGAAAACACGAAGTTCAAGTGTGGCGGTGTTTATTACCGATCCGTTTTGATTGGTCTGTGTCAATTAATTCGTGCTGTATCGACTTGCAATGACAGAAGATAGTCTGTGCTAGACTATGATTCGTTTATACAAGAACCGATCATTGGCAGCGCACAGTGTCTCTCATAGTGGATAATATGTCAGGAAGTCCTCGATCGCTCACAGCTTGATGGACGTTGGCATAGACCGTCTGCTGGATACATCTGCGGAAGTTTGGAATCCATTCGGGTTCGCCATTGGGAGAGGTGAGGCCACGAGAAGAACGTGGGTCACATCGCGGATTGCCTCGGTGTATGCGCCGGGAAGAGTCAATATCAAGAAATCGGAAAGAAGGTCCATGCGCCAATAGCAATGTTGTTGTTCTCAAGATTCCAGACAGTCAACACCGAAGAGCGTTGAGTCTTCAACACCGCATACTAGCGTCCTGGCATGTCCCATTTAAAAGATTCGTCTTTAGCAGATAGCCACTTACCGAGAACAAGAACCTCATCGTGCAAGCTTGGTCCATACTCAGAGTACACAGAACAAAGATGGCGTCCCTGGAGTCTCAGCCTGACTCCCACGCCGATCGATCTGAGTCTCCATCAGCATCAGCACGTCCATCTCCAAGTCTTGACGGATCAACTTCTATCACCGAGGGTATGCGACCCTTGTCGTTAGCACGATTCCACACAAGCCGACCCGCGGCCGTGTGGGAGCCTGCCCCTGGAACAAGCATCGACACCCTCCTGGCCAAGCACGAGAGATTCACAGAAGCGTGGAAAGCCTCGGAGGCCTACCGAGAGCTGCATGAGTTCTTCACCGACGTCTTACTCAAAATCAACACCTTTCAAATCAAGTCGTGCATGTGCCTATGCCTTGGCAGCATCACGGCAGGACGGCCCTGTCTGGAGGACTTCGATGTTCCATGCACCAACTCACTGTCCCAGTTGGTAGCCTTCGAAAGCTGGGTCGAACTGCTTAGTGAGTACCATCCGTAGGGCTCTATCGAGCAGGGACTGACCGGCGTTGCCATCTCCAGAATCGAAACACCCTATCGAGCAGATGTACATGCAGGACCCGGGGTTCAACGACCTCGACATTGAGTTCCTCGAGCTGAGAGGTTTCAAAGTGATCGAATCCCCCGCGTCGGACGACTGTATGACTCCCGACACCTTTCTGTTCACTCCGGGCGGCGAGCAAGACCCGGTCGTCGCGGCCATCGACGCCGCCCACCCTGCACTCTACATCGGCAACGATCTTCGCGATCACCCTTACATCACCGTAAACCCCAGCATCTTCTTGGGTGGTTACAGGTAAGCCCGTGATTACGAAGATACGCGTCCCCACCTCTCGACGCCAAGCTAATCGATGACTTTTCAGCCCGACATTTCAAGAACAGCTGATGAACAGCCTTCCTGCGGCGGAACCACTGGTGCGCCAGGCCCTGCTGCCATTCATGAACAAGCGCATCCTGAAACCCATGCCTACGTCAGATCTCGCGACGTGGTTGGAGGGCGAAATCATGTATTACAAGCCGGCGTCGGACAGCGAGCTCGTCCCGGTGGCTTTCAACAAGAGTGACGAGGAGCTCTATGACGATGAGCAGGCGGAGGCTTATTGGAGGGAGCAACGAAGTCATGGATTTGCGACAGACTAGAGCGAGCGGAGCGAGGCCGGGAACGGTTCGATCCTGAAGGATCTGCTTCTCCTATCATACGGGCATAACTCAGAGGTTCACGAATAAATTCGATTCTGCTTCACTGTAGCGATGGAGACGTTGAGACCTCGTTCACGTAGAGTCCCATTTCTGTGCCGTTGGGCTTTCCATCACTTTCTTGAGCCGACAGGCTGTGCCAAAGATATTAGGGTTAGAGACTTTTTTGGATGGCTGACCAAGCACATCGTGTACGACATGTTCGGAAAACGCGGATACGTAGCTGATCACGTACACGGCTATCCTGTGTCACGGATCAGGAGTGACGGTGCAAAACCATGACTCGGCGAATTATTCGGCATTTGCTGCTCGGAAGAGATTGAGGGAGTCACGAGGTGCGAAGAGATATTGTGGCGAAATGGTCAGATACTGTATATACATTTCGAATTACTTCCATTGTTCGAGGATTACCTAGAAACTTCAGACATATACTCACCTTTTTTTCCAAATTCCATAATCAGCTCTCTTTCCACCATTGATTGAGTCAAACGGAATATCATTCGAGAAAGGAGTGCAAAGTGTCAGAGCTCATCTACATCACCTTTCCGACCGCTCCTCGCCTTCGACCTTTCCCGTTTGCTCGAGCTGTAGACGCATCGCTATGTTCAGAGCTTTGGTCTGTGCTAAATCTCGAAGGTGCGGTGCTGGCACTAAATTGACACACACTGGAGTAGTATGTAGTACAAGGCATAGCAGTATAGGGCAGGGATGCCCCGAAGCCGGTTCGAGGGGAGTTCCGCTTCCACCGCCAGAAATATTTGCTCGATTTTAAAAGGTTGTTGTTGGTGCCGGAAAAGGAGTCGTTGGAGGAGGGGCAAATGTCGACGTATTACAAGGACTTGCCGGTGCTCTTGGGGGTAGAGGTGGTATCGATGGAGGCGCTAGTAACCCTTGATACAACGGAGAAGAGAGCTGGTGGGATGGAGAACGACGTGGTACTAGAGGCAACGCTTGATACAACGGAAAAGAGTGCATGTGGGATGGAGAACGACGTGGTACTGGACGTTGCAGGAGTGTTAACATTTGACGTTGAAGTACTCGATCTGGTACCCGAGCTTGCTAGAGTGATAGAAGTGGAGGTGGGAGTAGGAGAAACGGTCCTGGAGCTTGCTGGAGTGTTAAGCCTGGAGGCAGGAGTAGCCGACGTGATCTCGAAGCTTGTCGGACTGCTAAGCATCAACGAGGAAGAGGCTGATCTGGCACCGGAGCTTGCTGGAGCGCTGGCCTCCGACATTGGAGTATTCGATGTGGTCTTAGAGCTTACTGGAGTGCTAAGCTCCAAAGTGGTCCTCGAGCTTGCAGGAGTGCTGACTTGAGACGTTGAAGTACTCGGTGTGGCCCCAGAGTCCATTGAAGTGCTAGACACAAGCAATCCATTAGCTGTCATATTGTGAGAGCTTCTGGGAATGCCAGTGACAGACACTCTACTGGTCGATGTGATCATCGAACTTCTTGCGGTGCCAGAGACAAGCGATCCATGGGTTGTGGTATTCTGAGACGGTTTTGAAGTGCTAGAGATGGGCGATTTCTTGATTGACGTCGTGAAGGAGTTTGAAAAATAATCAGTAGCTGCGGCCGCTGAACTGGCGCTCGTAAGAGCGAACGTAGATAGCCTAAAGCAAGAAACATCACTCAGAGCCTCGTAGCAAGTGCCATTTCGAGAAACGTCCATTGCGTTCGCTAGCGTTAGGGTACCGTTGTAGATTCCGCACTGTCGCTGACATTCTCCGGTAGTCTCGCCTTGGGATGGAGGCCTACTGAAGTCGATCCTTTCGTTGGAGTGCAGAACACCTGGCAGGGTTTGGGTCAGCATTGCGTCGTTGATATAAGAGCGTGAATTACGAGAGTTTCAGGAGCGATGTGTAACAAGCTATTCTTTCGCTCCCGCGGCATGTTTCAAGAACTCAAAAGCAATGTGAGGAGGGAGAAGAGAGATGGAGACAATACGTACGACTTAAGGTATAGGATTTGAAAAACGAATCTTGATAGGAGTTTCGGTCATAGACAAATGGGTACGATGTGCCAGCTGATCCCTTACAGTTGGTCTGATTCCATATTGTGATCACCAGGTCGGCGTCGACGGCATTTTGGGGGACATGTGATACACACGGAGCTGTGGCGCTAGTGTTGGTATGTGAAGAGGCAGGTAGGGAGAGCGCGCTGGGAAGCAGAAGCAAAGCGGCGAGAAGGATTTCCATATCACTGTTTCCGCTTTGCGAAATATTTGTGCAGGTACTGTTCTTTGATTTGGTTTGATGGAAAGGTAGAGAAATTTTTTTGAGTCATGAATTGAGCCTGGGATCGCAATGCTATGAAATCAACTGGAATCCGAAACAAAGACTAATCGACATGAGTCTGGAGACAAAAAGTCGATTGTATTATCTGCTTCATTGCAGCGTAGTGGTAGGATGTGAAACAATGGAGCTTTCTTTATAAGGGGAGATAAACAAAGAAACGGTCATGAAGCCTGTGACATCGAAATTTGAAAGACTTTCGCGAGGACTTGAACAAAGAAGAGCAGAAGACATCTTGTCAAAATTGATCCTTGATGTAGGTGGCAGCCATGTAAATCATTAGCCGTTAGTTCCGAATAGTGTCTTACTGGTGCTCCGAGGCATCCCGCCATGATGGAGCGAAAAAGGTGCCCCGGTCTAAAGTGCTTCCCAGATCTAGGAGCACCTTAAAGCTCAGCTGACATGAGGTCTCTAATTTCGGACTGTACTCATAAAAGTCAAATAATACTGAAATAGCAGCATTGAAGCTCGTATTCGTTGGGCAACTCTGCACCTAAGGAGGTTGAAACATGACAGAAATAAAGATTGGAAATTCGGGACTCGTGGTACGAAGATGACATCAACCTTTTCTATTGGTAGCATTAGCTTGTACTAAGGGCATGATGTTTGCCAAAGCTCACAGCAGAGATTATAGCTCATGATTTCTCTTCTGGGAGAGATGTAGCGGTTGATGCGCAACCTCCACTCATCTCCTGAAGCGTGTACAATCTCTCCGTTTGCGTTGTAATCATCTCGCCTCCACGCCCGAGTATTATTTGCGAGTCCCGCAATTAACGATGACGAATCGCCATTTCTAAGAGGCCAGTAAGAGAACCGCTGTGTCCATCCTGTCAGTTGTTTAGGCGGTAAGTGGCTCGTCCGATGAGACCGCACAAAGAGCTGGCAATGTGACCGAAATCCGAAGGCTAGGACAATGACATTGTCCCGCTCCGACACAATGCTGGGCAACATCAAGCTTCGACACTCGTTTCGGTGCTCGACACATCGTACTTTTGGCACATCCGTCTCTCTATGTCTGCAGATTCCTCTTATCGAAGCTTTTTCTTTCATCGTCCTCGATCTTCGAGCATACAGTTCCCCGTTCGACTCCAAAGGTTCTGTCCAAAGGTCAATCTCAGTCTGCAACCATTTCAATTCTCGGCATAGCACTCAGGAACAAGGGCTATGGCCCCATCAAGAAAGAAGAACGTCAGCATGGAGCACCGCACTCGTTCGAGGAGCCCTATGACCCGACCACAGCCGATCCGCACTCGCGAGGAGCTATCATGTCGAGAAACACGTCGCTCAAGCTCGTTGAGCTTGTCTTCCCGTGATCACAGAATTCCTATCGACTGTCCCTTCCCAGGCTGCAACGCGACAACAGTGCACCAGCACTATGATAACGTGCAGTTCTTCAATCCTCACCCAGCTCCAGAGACTCGACATCGTGGTTATGCGAGCTCTCGGCGTGTTACATCCTTGCAACCTAACGTCGTCAACGGAGTACCGGCAATGCGAGGCCAAGAGACGTTCGGACCCGAGATTTTGGACGAAGAAGAGGCAGCGCAGGAGCAGGATGGGAATTTACAAAGTTCTGTTGCGGGCGGTGATGAGAAAGACGTCCAAGAGAAGCCAATAGAACAGCGCACTTTGATCACCACTCTCAAAGTAGCGGCTCCAGAAGTGAGGAATAATGCGCAGAGATTAGTGGCTCTAGCAGATCTTTCTAAGGAGCAACAAGCAGTTGGGGAATTCGATGGAGCGGCACTGGAGGAGTACACCGTGATGGACGAGGGAATCTCCGATTTGAGTCCTGGTGATCCAATCACAAGTAGGCGCACGTTGGACTTTGTCGAAGATTTGTTAACCCCTCTGCAGACGATTCCCTTGGAGATCGACTACGAGACTATCGCAAATGCGTGGGATTCCAGAAGAGTGCAACAGCAGCCTGAAGAGTCACCAACAACGACCTCGCCAGGGTTGCAGGATGTGTTCGACGAGTGGCTGGTCCCTAAGACACCAGAGCAAGCTTCCGAGACGCTACCGTGGGATATACAGAGCTTGGGTCATTCCTTGAATGACCTGAGTCGGGAAGATGGGGACCGCGAACTGCCGTCAAATATGATGCGTCCACCTCCGGACTCCTACAAGCGGCAGTTCCCAGCGACGATTGAAGACGGAGATGATTTCGAGGCGATCTTTGGACTCTCTGGGAAGGACTGAAGTCGAGATTCGCTCAAACACTGAGGTGAGAACAATGTTAGTTTCGCATAGATGAAACGCTTTTGAGGAGCAAGGCCACTGAATTTCGCGCATAGACTCTTTTGACCCAAGCATCTTTAAACTATTCGGTTCCGGTCGTACATAGACCCTCTACATCATTTTCCAAATGCTGTAGATAATGAAAAGACTGAAATTGGCTCTCAAAATCTCGCTGGCTATGCATTAATAACAGGTCCAGAATCCTCCCTCGGCTCATCTGTCACTGCGAGGCTTCTTCCAAATGAGGAGTGCTGCAATATAGTCAACGGGAGTCTGATCCAGTCTCCTGCTAGGATCAGAAGATGTTGCGTCTGGCCCATGAATGGTCTGCATCGAAGCCGAAGTTGGCTCTGCTGTAAACGCCCAGACCATCGGGTCGGACGATTTTTGAGCCCTAGGCTCTCTCTCCGTGCTCTAGTCTTCAACAGAAGCTTCAGAATCAACATTCACGACAAGCTCCACGGGCGAATCTTGGCCATATGGCGAGCTTGTGCTCGAAGCCAGGTTCTGGACAGCGGTTGGAGGAGCGTCTTTGAGAGCTCAACTGTAGGCCGGTGAAGTTCTTTGTTCATCTGGGCTGGTGTCGAACTTCGTCCTACTCGTTTCCAGGGGAAGATCCATGATGGTAGGCCGCAATGGCGGTCGAACAGTGTCCTGGGGATGGATGGATGGATCAAGGTAGACGCTTTCGGCTAGATTGCGCGGCTTTATAGATAAGATAAGAACTCTTGGCACCGGCGCCAGGCACCAGGCTGTGTTGATCATTATTACTCACGAAAGGTGAATATCTTTCTACCGGAACCGCAGATATTATCGCTGGAAAGTCTTTGCGGGATGCAGTAACCATGACTTCAGCTCGGCCATGACCGAATCCTCGAAGCGCAGCTCCACGCTGCGTGTCATCACTGCGCCGGCCAGAGCTGTGTCTAACGCCTCATGGCTCTATCCTTTCAAGGCAAGAATAAATACTACCTGACCTCAGCCGATTTGTTGACATTGCTGACACGCTAGCTACAGGGCATCTATTACTTCTGCGCTCATCCGTTCCTATGGCCGCTCCTTCGCGCCCGGCTCCTCCCAAGCGCTCTCCTGTCACTCTTCGTTCTCACCAACCTTTTCCTATGGACATATCTCCCCCAGGTACCCGTCCAATCACCACGATTGAGGGGACACGTGCTGATCCAGACCCAGGTCGCTCTCCTAGCAGTCTTCCACGGCCATCTGGCATGGCTGAATGCCACGTTCCTCGTTCTGGGTGAAGGGGCCGCCATCGTGTCCCTTCTCTTCGAAGCCTTCTTCGTCGACGAAACCCTCGTCGACGTCTTCGACGCCGTCCTCGTCAAACAAGGCTACACGGACCTGATCGCGTCCTCTCGCATCCTCGACCCCGATGGCTCAGACCCTGTCAAGCAGCTCGGCAAACCCACGACGTCCGCCGTCTACTCGCCCTTCTCCTTCCGGCAGATCGCCGAATTCATCATCTTCCTACCTCTCAATTTGATCCCGGTGGCGGGTACGCCCATGTTCCTGATCATGACTGGGTATCGCGCGGGGCCGCTGCAACACTGGAGGTACTTCAAGTTGCTGGATTTCACGAAGAAAGAGAGAGACGCATTCATCAGGAAGAGACGGCTGCGGTACACGTGGTTCGGGACTATGGCATTGCTGCTACAGCTAGTGCCTGTTTTGAGCATGCTGTTTCTCCTCACGACAGCTGCAGGGTCTGCATTGTGGGTCGCAAAGCTTGAAGGGAAGAGACGAGCCTTGGAGGCAATACCAGAAGATGAAAGAAGCGAGCGATATGCGGATGACGAGCCTTGAGAATCTCGTCTTTTCATGGACGATTCTCTGGACCGGAAAGCCGATTGTCTCCTGGACCTAAGTGCCGTTATTAGTCGTACACCCAAAGCAGATTCAAAGACATCGTGGAGGTCATTCGAATTCTCCATTTCAATCCCTATGACCAGTGGCCTCTTTTGATGAGGTAAGTATGCCGTACTATTCCCTGTGCGCTAACGGCTGACCCGCTGTAACCTATCTCTAGTCGGCGGGTCTTTGTCTGCTTTTAGCTTCCCTAGTCACATCTGCAACACCCCGTCGGGCTTAGCAGTCCCTGATCGTTGCACACCTCGCTTAACTTGCCTCATCTTGCCTTAGACCCGTAGGATTGGATCAACGTCTCGCTCGCCGCTCCCAGTCTGCGTTGGAACTCTGAGCAAGACCGCGCGCAAACACTCCCTCCGGGCAAGTCGGCCGTGTGGCATCTCTCTCGCCCAGATTTAGTGCACTTGTAGGTGAACGAGCCACGGCAATCTGGTCAAATGGAGTCACAGAAACCAGCACGAATCTTTGTTGTGAACTAAAATCAAGACATGTCTTTTCAATTATCTACTCGAAACAACAGATCGCGACATTATCAATTATAGCAAAACGTACTAAAGCAGCTCGTACAAGCAGCCGGCAGCGCATCTCCCGTCTTCTTCACAATCGCACAAGCCAAGCACGTAGGGAACGTCGCGTTTCCCCCCATCGTCGCCACCTCGCCTCCATTCGCGATCATGCCACTCGTCTCGGAAGGAGAATACTCCAGCTTCGCCGTACTTTCGCCGCTGGGGAAGGTGTAATTGTAGTTCGGCAGATACACAATCGTGATCTTGCTCGCGTCGTTGCATCCGAAGAACGTGGGCTTTTGGTTCAAGCCTTCGCCGAGGAACGTTGCCGCGGGCGGTATGACGGGCATCTTGGTCAGGCCCGCGAGTTGCGCTTGCGTGTACGTTTGGTAGAGTTCGCTACCGTCCGGGAAATTGCCGCTGGTGTCCGCGGAGTTGTCGTTTACCAGGATGACGCCGACGCTGCGGGCGGGCTCGAGGAGGGGGAAGAGGGGATTATTCTGGTGGGATTCGCCGCCGTCGACGAGGGTAAGTTCGGGCTGGGCCTGCACGAGGGTGGAGTGGGTGTACTTATAAAAGGGGTTGGGGTAGGTCGCGTATTCATCCATAAATGTCAGGGCGTGGGTCTGTGCTACGATGGCGGAAATGTTGGCGAGGATGCCGGGGACGTCGGCGACAAGGGGGAATGTGGTGCAGAGTTCGTTGAAGATGTCGGAGGAGGTGCCGAGGATGTATCCTGGGAACGTTAGCTATTTGTTCGGGATGGGACAAGAGGAAGGTATAGTACCAAGGTTGTCGTAGTTGGTCTCGCAGGTTGTTTTGGTGGGAGAGCCATTCGAGAGGGATGTTCCGAGATACTTCGTCTGCGTAAAAGCGTTGACGCCGGAATCGAAGCTTCCAAACTCGTATGGCGAGAACTCGTAGATGACTGTGTTGTTTGGAGGAGTGCAGACTCCTGTGGCAGTCTCGACATTCAAGCTGGTGATGATTGGGAATGGCACATTGTGGCTGGTAAAGTTAGAGAAGCCAGTGATAGACGACAATTCAATAGCAACGCCCCCATCGGTACCCTTCAGAAGTTGGTATGCCAAGAGTCTTCCGTACACATCGACAATAGTAGGCGGGTAGCCAGCTGCGTTCTTGGCAACAACGTCGGCTGAGATCTGAGCATAAGCACCTCCAGCCTCCAAGTTCTCTGGCACGAGAAGGCTGTCGGCAAACGCAGTCGTCCAAAGGGTAGTTTCTAGGTTTGAGATGGTAGGGTAATTGTTACCAGCGAAAGATGACAGGAGCCACCCTCCTCCGGAAAGACCGGCCTGGTAGGTAAGCCCCTGGTAGAGACCACTTGTGCCAGCATTACTATCCCGTGAGTCCAAAGCTTGGATAACGCCGGCACCCGTGAGGAGAGAGCGCAGTCCACCTCCGCTGGTGGTGAGGGCTACTGCTGGCAGATTTGCTGTGCTGAAAGCCGAGTTCACCTTTGTGAGCCATGCACCAAGCGCTGCAGACGCAACTGGGGCGCGAGATGAAATGTATGATGACTCAGAGGCGGAGATGCCTGTTGCAGTGCGAACCAAGGGGGTACTGGGACAGGTTGCTGGAACAGGAGCATATCCAGATAGCGCTGCTTGTACGGAGGAAGAAATGCCAAAGACGAGAATAAGGGAAGGTAAGAGAGGCATCGTGTATGTGTAGGATATTGAGAAATTGAAGAAGAAAGGCGGTCGTGAGATTGAAGGTATACTTCGGACTTTTAAGGGGAGGTATTGCTTAATTCAATTAGGCATTCAAGGCTCTTCGGTAGAGGCGGCGTAAGAGAGAAAAAGAGCAGTATGCCACCTCCTGCGCAAGCGCAACGGTCCAGGCTCAGACAAGTTCATAGTGAGCTCTCAACACGTGCAGGCGTGGTGGCTTGGGGTTGTTTTGATTCCTGGAATGTGGCAATGACAGCATCATGCAGCTGCCTCATCTGTCAAAAGTTGACTTGAGAATACCCAATCGTTTTGTCCCGCTTATCTCAAGGACTTTCAAGACACATATGTGGTAGTCAAGAGTGAAGCATTCGGCAATTTAATGGCCAATACCATGATCAAGTGCAGCAGCGTGGGGCCCAGTCGAAGAAGATCTTTTGCCCTTAATCTTAGCGCCGAGCGGCCGCCCCCTTTGCGGGCAGTCACATGAGGCAACCGAGGTCGGAATTGGCCTTAGCCGGTCCATTTTAAGACCACCATGTACTATACATGTATTTTGTATATTTGATCATCCATTCGATACACATTGTGACGCATCATCGCACCAAAAATAGCCGCACAGCCTCCTGCCATTGAACCCACATTCTCATTCCAAATTTAACTTGCAGTACGTGTAGGTGCAAGAAGAAGTCCGTTGGGCCGATATTGCGCTCCCAGTAGGCAACTATTTACTGAACCCCTGCATCAACCGACTGTTCCTTGCAGTTGTCATCGCCGTTGCTGCGGCCGTCGCTCTCCCCAAAATCTCAAAAATAGGTATTTCCGCCGCAAACCCCTCTGCGATCCATGTCTTCAGCTCGATCGCTAACAACGAATCCACCCCATATGAGTGTAGTGACTTGTTCGTGTCGATTCCTTCTTTTGATGTCGAAAGACTTCGTGACAATCTCTTGATCAGAGCCTGCAGAACGATGGAACCGGCCTTAGAAAGAGAGCCGGCGCTTGCAAACAGACCTCTATAATCGATGAAGTCTTTGGAGTTTCCCACCGAGAGCTTCTGATCGCTATTGACCTGATACATATGGCGAAGTAAAGGTGTGCGCATCCAAAGCGCCTCTTCAACCCCTTTTGAGCGCAGGCTCGCAGGGGTCTCGATACCCACGACGGTTTGGCACGTTTGCGTCGTCAGGGTGTCTAGTTCTGGGTCGCAAAGATAGTCGAGAAGGCCGAAAAGTTCGATTTGTTTCAGTGGAACGTAGAGATCTGAGTCTGGCATACGGTGTAGAGGGAATTCGTTCTCACTCAGGAAACCCTCGGAAACCATGACGCGGAGGTCTATAGAGACTGCTTTTCCCCTTTGTGCGATGCGGTAGTGTGCAAGGGCGTCTTTGTATGTGTTCCCGGCTGCGTACTCGGCTTGTCCTCGCTGTCCTGCTATGTTCTTTGGCAGGAGCATGTGAAGTTTCCATGAACAATGCATCTTTGAGTCAGTACCTGCTCTCCAGTCTTCGTAGGACATATCTGCGAAAGCATCCTACTTAGGAGACAGGAAATGGGAGTTGACTAGCTCTTGATACCATGCTCGCCTGGATGCTTTCCCGCAAGGACCCAACCCTGATCCACCTTTCAAGTGTGCCATTTTCCTCTCTGGTGGGGTACCTTTCCGCCCTGCGGCCACAAGATGCAATACGGAAAAGAGGGGCAACAGAGGAAGAGCCAATCCAAGTGACCACGGCACACATCTGGTGCTCAAACGACGAGTCAGCCAAAAGTACAAGTGTCGTCCTCAGCGAGCTGTGCACTCCCCATCTTAGAACCGTGTTTGTAGGCCTGTAAGGTCACAAGGCTAGCCCAATTGGCTGTCAGCCACTCGATGCTGCCAAACCAGATCCTCGTAATGATGTTGCCTATTTGTCCTGGGCTGTACAAATCATGTGATATTTGGGCGTAGTCTTGTATGTGACAGTCCATTCAAAGCGACCTAGAAATCAAATATTCCTCTTGATTTCTTGGGGTTTCTAAGCAAGAGAATCAGATGTGGTGACCACAATGTCGTTCTCAACACGAATGTGCTGCGCCTTTAGATCGGAACCGCAGTCATTTCGAGCGAATTGACTGACATTGTCCCTCGCGCTCCAGTAATTGTCCACCAGACTTCTCTCATCCGCACTGCTTTTACCAATGCTCTCCTTGCCATCGGTTAGACGATGAAAGCATGGCTGAGGGCGATGGACTTCAGACCTAACGCTTCTGTGTCCCTCGAGCTTGATATTCACCGTGCTGCGCTCGTAACATCTGTCACCGTACTTAGGCATCCATTTCGTGCTGAGACGGGTGAGAAGGCTGTCTTTGAAGATGCGTTGAGCGAGCGGACGTAGCGCTGGTAGGCAAGCTGCAACAAGGTAGATGCCTGGTTCGATAATGGTCCATGACATGAGTTCCACAAACGAGAAAGTACCATCAGTTATAGCATCGTTCCGAAAGAAGGTCGCAAAGCGAAATATTGAGGCTATCAATCCGACAGAACCAGTCAAGAATGTCAATGTCAGTCCTATTTTCTGGTGTCTTGTGACTTTGAGCGATCCAGTGAGACCTCCAACAAGAAATGTCATGATCAAAGTAACAGCTAGGACATATACAATCCTTCGATACGATTTTGTGGTGAATAGTCCGAGGTACATGCTCAAGATGGAGAGTTTTCGCAAGGTCACCGCCACGAGATAGATCCATTCGACAGCCATAAGGAGCTTGGCCCAATTCACGACTTTGTTAGGGTTTGTAGCTTCGAGCGCCAGGAGATGCCTTCCGACACCACCGAACTTTGTCATGGCTAATTAGATATGCGTCAGTCTGCGAGTTCTTGCAATCTATACGTAAGGATACTTGACTGACCTATTGCCAGAACATCCAGAGTGAGACAGAATGGTCTAAGCTCTTGGCACGGAAGTATAGTACCCACCAACCGATGCCCATTATTGTACCCTCAGTAAACAGTTGAATTGGTGGGCAAGGTATATCCAAGCCGGACTGCCAACGTCTTAGACTTCTCGGCCGCACGAGTAGTGCTGGACCCTGGCATAAGATACTCGGATCGCCTTGCCTTTTGCTTATCTGTGGGGATCAATTCCGGGAACCAAAAAGGAAGGGACGGACCCGCCGGCCCGTCGGAGCAACTGGGATCACTCATTGGTATAACTTCTACTTAAAGTATACATACTGTACATACCGAATTAATTGGCATATAAAAAACCACATCATTATAAGGCCCCTTTGCATATAAAATACCGTTCAAAATAACGGTTTTCAGACGTAGGCCATAATTAGACTGTAAGATAGGGGTCCTAGTAGCCTGCTGAGTAATGGTACTTTATTGTACTAGGCCCCCAGGGCAAAATCAGAAGTACCCTTACAGTAGCAAGGCAAGTAGAATAATGAGTAGTCGGAGTAGGTACTGACCATTTGCGGTACACTACCCCCGTACAGAGGTATTTTCCCGTCTAAAAAGAGCGTCTCTCCGAGCTCTCTGATTGGCGACAGCGAGCTTAGTAAGGCCATTGACTAGCGCCTTAGGCCATACGATACCACAGTGTTATAAGGCCCCTTTACATATAAAATACGGTTCCAAACGATGATCAGATGGACGCTTCGGCTATATGGTAGTATCTTATATGCCAATTAATTCGGTATGCACTTTTATTCCCGAGGGTCCGCATCATTGCTTGCGTCAGCGTGGGCGTGTTCGCAAGGGTTTGCCACTTGAGAACTAGGTCGATTGCATGCGCAGACATGATGTACTCGTATGAACCAGGATGTGAGGCATTCTTGAAGTACAACAATTCTTATAGACTCTGCGTTCCTCTGTCTTACTGGGAATCCCGCCCACACTAATAGAGTGCAACACACATGGTTCAAGAACACCATCTGATTGCGTGTCTGAGCAATGTGCAAGTAGCTTAGATTGGCTGAGTATCAGCCTTGTAGCCTTGCCTAGGAGCGCTTGTCACGAATACCGAATGGCGCTTTATGTTACCGCGTTTGCTTCCGAAATCTAAACCAGTCTCCGTCTTCAAGTGATTCCTCCATGTCTGCTGCAAGGATAGGAATATGATTCGGTACGCTTTCTCAAGATCGGAAGGTTCAGGTTCAGCCACGAACAAACCCATCTCCTCGACAACACATGCTTCGAGTGGACCTCTATCACAGTCAATCGTAGGAACCTCTGTTCTAGGTATTGGACAACCTTGCTTTCACGACCCCGGGCGCCTCTGCATCTTGCTCGGTGACAGTTTAGAGTTCGCACTCAACGTCTTCGCGATTGACAGACGAACAGCGGACCAAACAACTGAAGATCATGACTACCCGCGAAATTGAAGGTGGAGAGACTGCTCCTGACTATCCGTTCGGAAAACCAGAAATTTTGAACAACATCGTCGATTCCAGAGCTGAGCGGACACCTCGAACCTTGTACGCAGAATTTCCTGTTTCGACCACTGGTTATGAGGAAGGGTACAGAAAGATCACCTATGAAGACTTGGCCAATGCCGTTAACGGCGCCGCATGGTGGTTGGAGAAGACACTTGCTCGATCAAAAAAATTTGACACCTTGGCCTACATAGGTCCGAATGATCTGAGGTACAATGTTCTAATATTAGGAGCTGTCAAGGCCGGACACAAGGTCAGTTGAAGCTTGAAGCGAAAGATATAGCAGGGGGTGCTAACCCTGGTTTGAGTATCAGATGCTCCTTACTTCACCTCGCAATAGCGTTCCAGCTCATATCAACCTGTTCACCCTTCTTGACTGTACCGTCTTGCTTGTACCGAATCCGCAGCCACCGACGATCTCTCAGCGAGGCACAACGGTGATGATGTAGAATGCATGTAGATTCAGTGGTGGGGCCATCAGCTATTATGTAGCTGATGGAGAACAAAGCACTGCTATCTATGGCTAGCTACATGAAAGGAACAATGATGGAATTGCATGGAAGGATTTAGGAAGGACGCATGCATAGAAGGAACTAGACACGCTGACACTCCCCCTGTCTAGTGATATCTAAATATCTCTATTCCAACGCCAAAATCATGTATCATTCTAGTGCTCTGGTCCAGGGTCCTCCGAATCGCTCTGATTGTTCTGGGTGTCCTCGGGATCGCTCTGGTTTTTTTTTTGGTGTTCACACTCCTCCTTGACTCCCCCAGTCCAATGACATCCGTTTAGGATCCTCCGAATCGTTCAGACCGTCCTAGGTATCCTCGTGTACTTATTCTTAAGGTCGTTCTTTGGGGTAGATAAGTAGTTGTTTTGAAGTGATGTGGGTGCCTACCGTGTAGGGCTTGATGGGCGGCTTGTTGTAGGGTATATCGAGTGATTGACTTCGTTTGGGATGTACTGGCGTCTGGTACGGGCATCGGACACAGGCATCGGGCATCTCTGGCACTGGCTTCTGGTACTGGCTTCTGACACTGGCTTCTGACATCCTGTTGAAAAAATCCTCCCCTAACGGCCTTGTTGTAAATAAGTTTGTGGTTCGTCAGGCCCAATAAAGGGGACGATAGTGAGATTTGATGCGATATCAGTCTATCATCGGCATCAACCCAGGCTTATAACCTCTCAGCGAGGCACAACGGTGATGATGTAGAATGCATGTAGATTCAGTGGTGGGGCCATCAGCTATTATGTAGCTGATGGAGAACAAAGCACTGCTATCTATGGCTAGCTATATGAAAGGAACAATGATGGAATATGCATGGAAGGATGTAGGAAGGACGCATGCATAGAAGGAACTAGACACGCTGACACGATCTCCGCGCTTACCGCTGCTCACAAGCTTCGTGTCGCTGGAGTTTCAAACCTTGATGAACTGATCAGCAAGAGACATCCTCATTATCCCTACACAAAAACTTTCGACGAAGCCAGCCATGAACCTCTCCTTGCCTTCCATAAATCAGGATCTACTGGTCTTCCGAAGCCGATTGTCTGGTCCCATGCCTTTGCGGCGGCATACATCAAGATGACACATCTGGATCCGCCATCTGGATACAAGTCTCGTTCATGTTGCCTCCTTTCCATGCTGCAAATCACTGCACAACCTTATGCAACGCGATTATCTATCGAACAACCATAATCTATCCGCTTGCAGCAGCGATCCCGACGGCACAGGTCATGGTGGACGCACTCAAACACACAACGACGGACGTTGCTGTTGTTCCTCCAACTATTATAGCAGAAATTGGCAAAGACAGTGTCATGTTGGACTTCGTCGCCGAAAGACTAGAAACCCTACTCTACGCTGGCGGAGATGTACCTCAAGCTTTTGGTCATCCTGTTGCATGCAGGATGCAGCTAGTGAATATATACGGGGCTTCAGAGATGGGAGCTCATCCCTCGATTCGACCAGAGGGTGCGTGGCCACGCGAAGACTGGAAACACGTGGTTATCCATCCAGATACTGGAGTCGAGTTCGAGCACCATTCGGATGATCTACACGAACTGTGCATAGTCAGAAATCCAAAGTTCGAATCCTGGCAACCTGTTTTCAAATTGTACCCTGACCTCCAGAGATTCCCTAGCGGAGATCTCTTCTCACCTCATCCATCCAAGCCCGGGCTTTGGAAACATCAAGGCAGGTCCGACGACATTATAATCTTCCTAACAGGGGAGAAGACCAATCCCACCTCTATGGAAGAGCGCATTAACAGCCATCTTGAAGTTCGCGCAGCGTTAGTCGCTGGTGCTCAAAGGTTTCAAGCTGCCCTCCTCATCGAACTCGCGGCTGAGAAGGCTCTTTCAGCTGCCGAACGTGCGGAGACCCTTGAGCGCATATGGCCAACGATCCAAGAAGCAAACAAAGATTGTCGTACTCATGCTATGATAGACAAATCACACATTCTTTTCGTGAATCCCAACAAGCCTATGTTGAGAGCAGGGAAAGGCACTGTGCAACGAAGGCCAACTCTAAGCCTATACGCAGAAGAGCTACAAGCTTTATGTGCTGACGCGGAGAAAGTCACTGTTCCCCATTCAACAGATGCCAAACAGGTTATCGATGTACACGACCCTGAAAATACCTCTTCCTTCATACGCGAGACGATCACTAAACGCACCGGTTGGACTCAATTCGGAGATGGAGACAATTTTTTCCTGCTAGGCATGGACTCCCTGCAAGCACTCCTCACCACACGTGATCTGAAACAAGTTTTGGCCGATTCGGAGATTGCTGTCAGCACAGTGTACACTAACCCTACAGTATCTTCGCTCGCCAGTGCAATATCAGAGCTCTCGGCCATGAGTCGGCAATCACAGGTTTTTTTATTAGCAGGCACGTCAGCAAGTGATTGATGCGACCTTTCAGGAGCACAAAAATTCGATCGACAACCTCGTGAACGACTTGCAGACAAAACCAACTAAGTCAAGTGCCGCTCGGATTGCGGGAAACAAGAACCATACCGTGATTTTGACTGGGTCAACAGGTGCAGTGGGTTCATATCTGCTCCAGGTGCTCTCCAATTTCCCATCTGTATCGCATGTCTACTGTCTAGATAGAGCGTTGGATTCTTCATCTACTCGATCACAGCGAAACAGGATCCGCAGGACCACGAGTGATTATCCCTCAAATCGAGTGACCTTCTTGACTGCAGACATGTCGCAACAGAATTTCGGCCTCGAGCGTAAGACGTACGAGGCTTTGTTGACTCAAGCCACTGCGGTCATCCACAGTGCGTGGCCCATCAAATTCAACCTCCCATTGTCTGCGTTCGGGCCGCAACTTCTTGGAATAACTCGGCTTGCCGAGTTCGCTGTCTCAGCAGCACCCTCAGTCATTCAAATGCCAGAACAAATAAGATCAACACAGTGCCATTCCAAGCTTGGCTCCAGAAAGTTCGCACAGATGCTGAAGCGGTCGGCAGCGCAGACATTGAGGCGATGCTCAAAGTTAACCCAGCGGCTAAGCTGCTGGTGTTCTATGAGAAGCTTGCTGAGGAAGACAAGAACCTGGAGTTTGAGACATCGAAGACCGAGGAGGCTAGTTCGAAGATGAGGGTTATTGGAGAAATACAGCCCGGATGGATTGAGCGCTGGGTAGGGGCATGGTTGGCTGTTGGCAAGGAAAGGGCACCGGAAGTGCCTGATGAAGATTTGTGAGCTTCAACATGCATATGGTGGAAGCGGTCTGAAGTCAAGTTAGCTACGGCTTGGGTTCAATAAGACGAAGGGACGGGTGTGTGGAAAAGATCGTGGAAGGCTGGGAAGCCGCATCACCTCTGATAAGATTCATGTTCTAAGCTACTAGGTCGCTATTATGTCCAATACATTGGTTATCGATCGTATGAAGTCTTAGAGGGCATCGGCTTCCTAAGCTTCTTTGCCCTTCTCGTCACGAACGAAATCATTCTCGGCGATCTGAACACCTACGTCCATAACGGCAGATTGATTCTCTTGACCTTTGATACCTTTCCCTAGATCGGGTGCGCGTAATTGTTCGACAAGGACTGCATATCTTACTCTGATCGGCAGCAAGCTAACAGGGCACGTACAGTACCATCGTTGTCTTGCGAATTCTCCATCGCTCCTTGACTCTCAACAAGCTTCCGAGTCTGCTTGGGCCTCATGCTGTCTGCCGGGACTGTAAACGCACCCGGCACCATCAGACGGGAAGAGTGGCGGGTGAAGCAAGCGAACCTCTTCTCGGAGAGGATGAGGGTGAAGATGTGGAAGCGAACGTCGAGGGCATGGGGGTTATTTTTCTCGAGCACGATGAGGAGGGTCCATCTATGGGCCCGCGCTCATAAGTGGCTAACGCTTCAAATGCCAAACAGGTCTGCGTGGAGGTCGGACATTTCAATTGGTTTTTAGATACTTCATTACATGGCAGAATTTTGAGGTCTTCAGCCCTTAGAGTACCTCTTGGCAAGATGCGAAATTCAAATGACGAGTACTCCTCATACAATTCTTTGGTAATATCGAATGACGGTCCTGCACAACGGCTCAGAGTTTGAAGTTTCAGTGGCTGGAGGCTATATGTGGCGCTGTTCGATGCTCTCAATGCCAAGACCCACGGGAGCGTCCGCTGAAAGTGCCGAGTTTAAACGTTTAAAAGAAGTCTATTCGTGGTATAGAAGTAACAGCCAATCACATCAATGAAACGCGTCTTGGACAGCCTCGACATCAAACAACAGCCGCCCAGCTTTTTCAAAACATCAACTACCAGTCAGCAGACCTACCTCCTTCAACAACATACGAAACCTCAGACTGGCTAAATTAAGCTGCTTCGAGATGAAGATAGCCCTGCCATTCTTGTCCACGTCACAGCAACCGCTGACTTAAACCCTTCCATTGCTGAGACGCTCTCGTATCCTCTCATACACGCTGTCTACCCTGGCATTCAGTGTTTCAAGAGTATCGCAATCTCATGGCCTCTCATTATATGGCTCTTGTGCTGCGCATTCCTACTGAATGTTGCAGGAACCTTCGCCTTCTTTCTGGTCTCATCTACGGTCTGCCTTGCGATTTCTAGATTTCCTTGTGTCGTCTCTGTCTGCTCTGCATTTCCTGGGTTTCTCACATCTAGAATTGCCACTTTCATTTAATACAACAGCGAGCCCTTTGTACTCCTATCTTAATAGCTCTGGATTGAACAGACTTCTGCTCATCTGCTCTCACATTCCTTGGATTCCATTATGCACATCCGAATAATAGTACTGCTGGCAGTATGTGCTAATTTTGCTGCGACTGGACCTCTCCGACACAATGGGGCTCGCGTGCAGTAAGTACAGACATGCTCGAGCTGTGCTCGTAAGCTTGCACTGACAGAACCCAAGGCCTCATAACTTCGCCCGATTCCTCAATCATACAGAGATACCTTCGATACCTGCCGACATTCAAACCTCGACGCCAATACCGATATCTTCCTCATCAATAGTACCTTCGATCGCCGCCAGCCCAGAAACCTCAGCTTTCGTTGTCACTTCCTCAACAAAATCTATAGCGACGCCATTGACACCTAATGTAGCGTCCAGCAGTAGCCCTACTACAGATGCTCTCACTGTAGATGCGCTAAGCCAAGTTCTATCAACGTCAGCGACTCTCCCGTCAACCTCATCTACAACAAGTCCGTCAGAGCACTCCGACGTGGGTAGTGGAGCAACTCCTGTGAGTACATCAGCACTTGTTGATGGTGGAAAGTTGAACAGCGAGACTCATGAGGCCGCCGCTGTGCAGCCTGCGGAGACTATGTCAAGATTGTTCAACATTGGTGGAAACCCTCCCAATGACCTGCAGTCCTCAACTGATGCACTATCGTTCTCATCTACGCCGTCACCCAAACTTAGCGCAAGCACGTCGACTATTTCCGACGTCCAATCCACAGCCAACATGCGAACAGTGGCGGCTATGCCATCATCATCTTCTACTGCGATTCAAGCGCCATTTCCTTCTGAAGCCCCCCTACCTACCTTTTCGACAGCTGCTGCTAGTCAAGTCAAGTCTTCTTCTACAACATCCATACCCACCTCTTCGACAGCTGCTGCCAGTCAAGCTCCGTCTCCAGTCGTTGTGCCTATACCTATATCTTCAGGTCTAGTTCAAGTATCAGGCCCGGGTGGCGACGCAGCGGACGAATTCGCACCAGTCACGCTCGACCAAAGCTCACCAGCGCCCACCGGAACTGCGAAATACCCTACCGCTGAGGGCGGAAATACGGCAATGGCCGCTGGCTTCAACAATGTTTACAAGACATTGAACGAAGACACCCCTTGCAATCCTGGGGACCCAAGCCAGGCATATGCTTGTGTTGATGGGGAGATCGCTGAATGTCAGTCCGATGAGACTTACGTATTAAAGAGCTGCCCTCAAGGCCAATCGTGCTACGCGCTTCCAAAACCCTCAGGTTTGAGTGGGGTTGTGGTGCAATGCGCTGTTCCAAGCGATGCCTATAGTATGCTTGCTGGTCTATCGTCTTCCACTGCAGTCCCTCTGGCCGTTACTTCGCAGCCGGCCCCAATGTTGCAGGCCGAGGGGGACTTCAGTCAAGCCACACAAAGCGTGAGCGCGCAGAACCCTGTGCAGCCCGTCACGTCCTCTCCCCCAGCCCAGGCGAGCATCCAGAGCCAATCCCAGGCACCTAACCCTTCGGTACTTGGTGTGACGGCTACAGCTCAACCAGTCCAGGACTCCGATTCCTTGAACACTTCTCCTAAGTCAGAGGCTACGCCAGCACCACCATCCACTACAGCAGCTGTTGTCTCAATTCCACAGGCATTGTTTGCTGTTGTCACCGCGCCCGAGAACGGCCAAGTCTCACCTAGCGAAAGCAGCGCGCAAGCCTCAATTCCTACCTCTCAAATGTCGCAACCCTACCCAGGGGTTTCAACACCTGCCGTACAGTCATCTGCAATGTCTACACAGGCTAGCCCTGACAGTCTCCAACTCACAGAAGCAAGTGTCACAAGTACATCGACATCAAGCGCTGATAGTGCCGGCATCACGTCTGCTCCGATGGCAGTGCCGGCGAATGAAAAACTTGCGGTAGGAAATGGCCAAGCTACGGTAACAGTCACAGTGACGGTTACGACGACTGAGAAGCCTTCTCCTGTTACCATAAGTGCTTCATGATTGCTTTTTAGCGGCATGCGTTTTGGCGTCTTGGAGGAGTCCACAATACCCAGTCAATGCATAGATCTCTAGATTGGACATCGGTCCTTGTCACTCGTTAGATACAGACTTCTTGTAATTATCTCATTCAATATTTAAATAATTAATTTCAGCATTGTCTCTATGATGTGTGTTCAGAGCTGAATTGACAGGACGTGGCCCTGATCCTTGGCGATTCAGCTCCTTCCAATTGCAGCCAATCGCTCCGAGGCAAAACGTTCCCAAATTAGCAACGCCACCTACGCGCCAAACCTTCGACCAACGACAACCTCGACCGGCCTTGCGTGCGACCGTTGCAATCAACTTGCCTTCGGACCTGCCAAGAATTCCTCCTCGGTCAATGTCTTGATGAGGACCAATCACCTTTCAACCTTGTCTTGTCTCGGGCACGGGGTGGACCGAGGGATGGCAAGGAACAAAGGACGATCCTCGTCACGGTCATCCTCTACCTCTCATCCAGGCACATGACTGAGCCAGAGGGTTCTACATCGACAAAGAATGACGTTCGGGCTGCCCATATGAGGCATGCAGGTACTATCATGTAGTGTACCTGAATCTAGCAGGAGATTTTGCGCATGAGATCCCCTTAAGAAGGGGGCTTGCTCGCTCTATTTCCGCCCAAACTGAGTTCATTTACTATCTTCCCAGCAGTTATGTATCCATCTACTACATTCGCGGTCTCTTTTCTCTTCGCACTGCCATGCGCTCATGCATGGGGCGTCGTCGGCCATGCAACTGTGGCTACGATAGCCAACAACTACCTGACTTCCACGGCAAAGACGTACGTGGCAGGCATATTAGGGAACGATGTCTCCATGGCTTCGATTGCCAGTTGGGCGGACGATTACCGCTATACTACGGCAGGAAAGTTCAGCGCGCCCTATCAGTGAGCCCCCACCCAGGCACTTCCCCCCTGGAAAACCACTAACAATAAGCGCGCCAGCTTCATCGACGCCGAAGACTCGCCTCCAAGCTCCTGCTCCGTCAATTTCTCTCGCGACTGCACCACAGAGGGCTGCAGCATCTCCGCCATCGCAAACTACACCGCCCGCGTCCAAGACACCAGTCTCTCAGCCACGAACCGTATGGAGGCCATGGAATTCCTGATTCACTTCCTAGGCGACATCACGCAGCCTCTACATGACGAAGCAGAAGAAGTAGGCGGCAACGACATCTCCGTCACCTGGGATGGCGAAGACACAGATCTTCACGCCTGCTGGGACACACAGATGGTCGAGAAGATTGCTGGTGGGGAGAACAGCACAGCGACTGTGGACTCGTTTGCGGCGACGTTGATTGCGCAGATTGATAATGGAACGTATGCGAGTCAGAAGGAGGATTGGGTTAGTTGTGTGGATATTACGACGGCTACTGACTGTGCTCTCGAATGGGCGCAGGACGCGAACGGGCTGAACTGTCAGTACGTGCTTCAAAACGACGAGTCGGGCATGGAGCTCGACGGGACGTATTATACCGGCGCCGTGCCGTACATCGAGCTGCAGATCAGCAAAGGTGGGTACAGGCTGGGGGCATGGTTGAATGCTTTGGCAGCAGCTGCTTGAGGTGTGGGTTTGTAGGCATGATGGATGTTTGACAAAGGCGCAGATAGAAAATTGAGGGTCTTGTAGTGACTTAATCCTCAAGAGAATCTGGAGATCTACAAAGCTTGAGCCTAGAAGTCTACGAATTATCAGTATGTTTAACCAGAAGAGAGAAAGGAGCGAGTAGACTCGCAGACACCCCCACGCGGGTGACAGAAAAACCTGCACACACCAAGAAATCCCTTCGCCTTGTCAGCTGGAATAACTCAACGAATACCCTCTTTATGAATTAGATTTTGCGGAACGATATATTAGTGTTATCGAAATCTTTGAATCACAACGCAAAACCTTTGCTAGGTCTCTTCATTGTGAAATCATCATCAAATTTCTAATTTCATGGTCACCCGCGTGACCCCCTAGACCGCTGACAATGAAATTCCGAGGTATCGCCAGGACTTCGGTAAGACTCTTCGGTCTTGGCACGCTAGCTGGGCTAGTCACGTAGTGTCGAGATGTTGTTGAGCTTCACTGTCGCACATATGCTCCAACACCACTACAACCAATCGGTCACAGACTTCGTTTGACATATATCAACGGTACGGCACAAATTTTATTGAATTTCTCATGTGCATTTGACTCTTGACAACATTACATCCCGCCGCCCCCGAGGTATATCCGAAGAAACACCGGATTGCCATGGACGGTCCAGTTCATCACAAAAGTGAGCGCAATATGTCTGCATATGGCGCCGCTCCAAGTGCACCTATGCTGCCGCAGCAAGGTCCTTCCCTTTCCAACAACTACATCCCCTACCCGCCCTTGCCCAATCTTCCTCCGAACGCGTCGAATCCCATCTTTCCTGACGTCGACCCTCAACTTGCGCCTCCCACCCAGGCGCAAACACCGTCAAACAACAATACGAGTAAGATTCAAGGTCATGCAGGCGAGACAAAAGCCAGGCTACGTAAGGCTTGTGACTCATGCTCTGTGCGAAAAGTGAAATGCGACGAACAACAACCCTGCAAGGCTTGTGAGGGTCTCCAAATTCCATGTACCTTTGAACGACCAAGCAAGCGCCGAGGTCCTCCTAATAAACACGCCGAGAGTCTCAAGAGAAAATACGACTCGCCCGCAGGTCCAGCAATGTCTCAACCGCAACCGTCCTCGCCCACACACGCTGCCCACACTCTCGCCTACTTCTCCCAGCAGCAGGTGCTCTCTGCAGAAACGATATGTCCCCTTTCCATGCTTGAGCGGCTGGTCGATGACTACTTCACATTCATACATCCTCTTGTCCCACTTCCTCACGAACCATCCTTTCGGGATGCCTTTAACCGGCGCCAAGACCTGACCAATCCGACTTTTGTAGCTTTGGTCGCTTCGATGCTTGGCTATCTGGTGGCTTGCTTCCCTCGAAGACCTCGACAACACATCCGCGAAGGTGTGCCAATGGAACACCAGCAACAGATGGATTCCTTGTATTCGAACCCGATGGATCTGGTGGATCGATGCCATAAGGTAGCGATGGAGGCTCTGGGTCCTGCATATTTGGACCGCAAAATGTCGGTCCATGATGCTGTGATTAGCTACCTGCAGGGGTTGACATGTGTCCAAACATTCAATCGGCAATCCGCCATCCACTACTTCAAGCAATGTATGACTATATCTGCAACCGTCGGTCTTCACAAGGTCAATGTCACAAGTACTACACACACGAACGGTCATGCCTTACCAACACCTAGGATGACAGCGAATGGCCATGCTCTCGAGGGACCACATCATGTCGGTGTCGATCAATTGATGCGAGAGTTGGGAGTAAGAACATTCTGGGCTTTATTCGCGGGGGTGAAATTATTCCAGCAGGCTGGCGTCTCGCAATGGGACCTGCTAATGCCACCAGCAACGCCATCACACCCATATCCTCCGTTACCCGTTGAAGTCGATGATGGCTACATTACACCAGAGCATGTCCATCTCGATCTCCAGCCTCCAGGCCTCGTTCCCGTAATAACCGGTTTTAACGCCAATATCCGAGTTCTATCTACCTACAATGACTTAGCAGCAATGGAGCTAGTCCGTGGTATTGACAACGTCGTAGACTGGGAGCGGCAAAAGAGAGCCTTGGAGGAATCTCTGCAATCCGTCAAGCGCATGCTTGACGGTCTTCCTGGCGAGCTTGTCCTCAGTTTCCGGGCTCCATCACCTCGGTCGCGAGAGCCAAAGTATCCTTCCCCAAACCCTGAATCCACCGTCGGCCAGGAACTGGCTCAGTACGCAACGAACGGCTTTGATAACACACGTATTGACTTCAACCGACCTGAAGAGCGTCGGCGAATCCAATATGAGATCCAAAAGGCCAACATTTATACTACCCAGCTAGCCACACGCTTGCATCTCGTCGAGAAATACTGGAATCTCTACGACGCCTACAACCTCAAAAAATCTGGTGGTGGCAGTTCAGATAGAGCATCATCTCCAGGGATCATCGCCCCCATTCTAGACAAATACGACCCGTCCACCCATTTCAGCACTACGGAACAAGATCTCGCGGCTGAGCGTGAGGATATTGTCAAGATCTTTCTCATCCTCCTCGGCCAAATCAACGAAATCAACACGGAAGCACTAGGCAATTCGTTCATCAGCGAAATCAACCGAATCGCGCGGGTGTTGCTTGACGCGCCACTTGTTCGCAAAGGAAACCTGGCGCAGGGAAGCGAAACCTATGTGAGGGCGTCTCTGGCTGTGCTGGAGAAATTGGACCTGGCCAGTCCGACTGGTGATTGGCTGACCGACGAGGACGAGGTGCCCCAGCTTTGGGCGACGTTGAGAGGGTACCAGGCTAGTTTTGCGCAGAGTGGAGGATTCGGAGGGGAGGTCTAATCTCGAGGTCCCTGCGTCCTTCGGTCGGCCGGGCGAGACTACGGCTCAGGGATGAGGGATTCGATCAACGCCACAGATCAGGCGTGGGTCACTCAGATCAGGCTTGGAAAGGCTGGTCACCTACTCTGTCATCCACGCTGCATGATTCTTGCAGGTTGGTCGGTTTTTACAAAGTACGAGTCCGACTTGTCAAGCTTTCAGTTCGAAATCCATCGACTGACAGGCGCTTGCTTGCTTGGTCCGCGAACGAACAATTCGATTCAATCATTGTGTAAATAGATTCTTGCATGCGTTGCTACGTAGTTCTACCTATGAAAAGGGGCCGTTAGTAGTACAGATGCACCCCGCCCATAGAGATACACGCAAGAAGGAAAGTCGATGTACATAGCTCCACGACCGACCCTGACTCATTACTACAGCATGAAAACTTCACATCGTGATCTGCCTTCCACCCCTCAAACCTCTCCCCATCGTCAACTGAAAAGCCTTCTCAGCAACCCCCTTGCCACCCCCTCCCTCGGCCTAACCCTCCTTCTATCCTCCTCCCTCTCTCTCTCCCTCCTCCCCTCCCTCGCCCTCCTCGCCGCCTCCTGCGCCTCCTCCAACTCCCGCCTCTTTTTCCTCAACTCCCTCTTCGTCTCCGCCTCCGCCCTATCCAGCTCCTCCCTCTTCCTCCTCCGCTCTTTCCTCCCCGCCTCTTCATCAACGTCAGTACTAGCTCTGGGTCTGTGGTCCGCGGAGCGGGCTTTGGACTGGCGCTCGCGGCGGGACGGGGAGGACGCGGTGGTCGAACGACGGGGTCGGGGATTGGGGCCGGAAGAGCTTTTAGATGACGCCTTCTTTTCGTCGTTGACGCGGATGAGCATGCTGGTGTTGGATTCGGCGCGGGGGAGCATGTCGAGGAGTCTTGGGCGGAATGCCGCGGTTTTGCCTTTATCTTCGGGCTCTTTATCCCGATTACTGGATCTCCTCTCCGCTGTAGGGCGGCTTGAAGACGCCAGACTGCCTTCACCGTGCTTTCGTGGTGATGAATGATGTTTGCTCAACCGCTTCTCCTTCGCTTGCTTGAGCAGTTCTTCAACTTCCGCAGACTTGGAGGTGCTGTTCGTGACGTCACTTTCGCGACGTTTGTGCGAGGAGTTGAAAAGGGGCATTTCCATGCTGCCTTTGGAGGAAGATTTGCTGTGCCGGCGCTCGCGCTCCCAGCCTGAGCGGTGGCGGCGTTTTGAGGATGATGGGGAGGGTGGGGCGATTTCGACGACATCGGCGGCAGCTTCCTCTTCTTCGAGAATGGCACTGTCCGTTGCTGCTGGAGCTGGGTTGGGTGCTATTCCGATGACCTCGGGGGGCGCTTCTGCTGGGGCTTCTGGAGCGGCCTCGACGATTACCGGAGCTGCTTCTGCGGGTGGGTCGGGGGCTATTTCGATGACATCGGGGTTTGATTCTACTGCGGGTTCCGGAGCAGCGTCGACGATTACTGGGGCTGCTTCTGCAGGTGGGTCAGGTGCTGGCTCTTCGGTCGTTGCTTGGCCTTCCTCCGTTGGTGCCTCCGGAGCTGGCTCTTCAGCGACCGGCGAAGCTTCCTCTGCCGGTGGTTCTGTGGCTATAGGCTCTTCCGTTGTTGACGGTGCCGGTTCTGGCTCTGTTAGTGGGTCTTTAGGAGTCTCTTCGGCGGCAGGAGCGGCTTCTGGCTCAGCAACACCCTCAGCTGCTTCGGCTCCTCCTTCAGCTGGAGGTACGGGCTCTGCTGGTGCGGGTTCTTCGGCAGCAGCTGGCTCAAGCTCATTTCTTTCCTGGTCATCCGGCGCAATTTGCTCTGCCTCAGCTGGTGATGGTTCAGTAACTGCGGCAGCTTCCTCTACTTGTGCTTCCTCTGCTGGTGCTTCAGCAGCAGACGGCTCAGCTTCCTTAGCAGCTTCTTCGACTGGTTGTGCCTCATTTACGGGCTCAGCGGCGGCCGCAGACTTTGGCTCTTCAGATGTAGCCTCAGCAGGTGTACTATCAGGCTTTGGTTCAGGCTCATCTGGCTGCCCCTCAGAGCGTTCGTCTGCTGTCGGCTTGTCCTCGCTAGGCGATGATTCGGCAGGAACCACTTCAGTCGTAGGTGCGTCTGTCGCTGCTTCTGCTGAAGCTGCCTCCGCTTGGGCGGTTTCGTTAGCTGGAACTTCCGCTGATGGTTCTTCTTTGGCTGCGGCGTCTTCAGCTGGAGTGTCTGCTGGAGTGTCTGTTAGAGGAGCTTCTTCTACTGCAGTATCAGTGGGAGCAGCATCTACTGGCGCTGGCTCAGCTGGCGTAGATTCTTCGGAAGCTGGCTCAGCTGGTACAGACTCGGCTGGTGCAGGGTCTGACGGCGCAGGATCTGACTGTGGGGATTCTGCTGACGTAGCCTCTGTTGGCGCATGCTCAGGTGGTGTAGGTTCTTCGGAAGCTGGTTCAGCTGGTACAGATTCGACTGATGCAGGGTCGGACAATGCAGGGTCTGACGGTGCAGGGTCTGACGGTGGAGATTCTGCTGGCGCAGCCTCTGTTGGCGCAGGCTCAGGTGGTGTAGGTTCTTCGGAAGCTGGCTCAGCTGGTACAGATTCGACTGGTGCAGGGTCTGACGGCGCAGGGTCTACCGGTGGGGATTCTGCTGAAATAGCTTCTGCAGGTGCGTCTGCTGAGGTTGTATCTGCAGATGGTGCCTCGACTGGCGCAGATTTTGACTTCTTGTTCTTGTCGCCCTTCTTGCGGACGAGACCGTTTTTAGAAGGCTTGAACTTCTTGTCCTCATCTTTGTCACCGCCCACAGTATAATTCGAAGACTTGGGTTTCTTTGAACCATCTTTCTCTCTTACCGAAGTGTTCTTCGACGACTTGGCTTTCTTTGCTTTCTTTTCTTTTGGCTTATCTTCTGGCTTATCTTCTACAGGTACTTCCGGCGCAGGAGGTGGCGGCTCTTCAGAAATTGTTTCCTCAGCTGGCACCTCTGGTGGTGGATCAGATGCCGAGGTATCTCCAGCAGCTTCGGGAGGAGACTCTTCTGGAGCTGGAACTGGAGCTGGAGCTGAAGCTTCCGGCTCGGCTGCTGGAGCCTCCTTGGATTCTTCTGGAGCAGCTTCTTCAGCAGCGGCGGCAGAACCTTCTGGGTTCTCAGGAGGTGTTGCTGTCTCTTCGGTCGGAGCAGCGTCTGCCGCTACTTCGTCTGCTTTGGGCTGAGTGCTATCGACTGCTACCTCGTCGCCTTCAGGAGCTCCCTCGGCTGGAGCGTCGGATTGATGAGGTGCGGCTTCGCCTGCATCCGCTTCTACCACATGAGCATCAGCCATGGTGCATCTACAAGCTGTCAAGATACATACCAGGCTCAGCTGGAGGAGCCTCTTCTGAGGCATGCGCTTCGGCGTCGGCCGGAACGCCTTGCTTTTCATCAGCGGGAGCTTTTGGCTCCGGCTCTGGTTCCGGTGGAGATCCGAACGGATTTGACGGTGGTACAAGTACTGGTGGTGTAGGTGGAACGAATGTCGGCATCGCTGAGTAGCTCAAGTGAAGAGTCTCAATTTTATGCCAGACATATGGAGGAGGATTGGCGTAAAGAGGCATGTTGGACTGCCTTTTCTACGCCGGCGTAGTTGAAATCAGGAGGAGGAGGATGTGTTCGATTGCTCATATATTCTTCTCTGTCTTGTAAAAGATGGTCCTACCATCCAATTGGGTGCTTTACGGAAGGGTGGGCCATGAACGAATAAGCACCGGATCTAGAGTAAGACGGGAGAAGGATCATGACTGAGCAAATTGAATCTATGTCAAGTTGACGTGCAAAGCAAGACGACGAGCCGGACTACCAAAAGAAGCGGAGGGCATAAACGTCTTGAATCCTTCAGAGTCTTGTATAAGAATGAACGAGACAGAAAAGAATGCCATGCAACAAGATTTGAAATAGAGAGAAAGTGATCACGCAAAGTCTTGCATCATGTCCAGGTGATGCAAGTTGGGCGACCAATTGGAGCCACGTCGACAAGTAATTCCTCAACATAACAGTAGGTGAACGGCCGGCACACAGGCGGCGAGCTAGTAATCTCTCGATAGATCCAATTAGCGTCTGCTCAAGTTCTGCATGTCGGTATGCTTCCTCTATGGCTCTTCACCATATGGAACCGCTTCCCCCGTGGGGTTCGCTGCAGGTTGGTGGCCGGCTTTGCTGCCCAACGCCCGTGATTCGAGTATGCACTAGAGGCACAAGTCTGCATGGTGGAAAAGCAGGACAATACATGATCGTAAGCCTCACGTCTCGACAGCTGCACGGACGGCAGAGATTAGGCAAATATGAAAGCGAGAGAGATATAGATAAAAATGTGAAAAGTGAGGCTGATTCAAACTTTCAAGGCTGTCTAAATTCAGGGCGAGCAAAGGGGAACTGGGAAGGAGTGACTTCGGGCCCAGCCGTAAAACCTTGCAGCGCTGCTGCCACCCGGAAGCCCGCATTTAGCGCCTAACACCGTAAACTTGGAACTTCTTGGAGCCCATGGGCCCTATCCAACATGCATGCCCTCGATCTTTGGACTACACTCTTTATCTCCCTGGACATTTTCAATCTCCGACAGCATAATTACTCCTCACTTTCTCGCTGGCTGATTGCAAAATCCTTTGCATGCCGTTCCGGTGACAATTAGTAGGCATCAAATTCAGAGACGAGCAGGATCAATCCAGGGCACATGATAGCCACAGCATCGATGCCAATCACCCAAGACCCTCGCGACGGCGTATGATACTAGAAAGACCTAGTATCAATGGCCGAGGCAGGATTCCACCATAGAGACATCCTCAGGCCCCACCTCGATCGCTTGCTGTCCTCTCGAGATTACCCAAAGACCATTTGTCCATCGGAAGTCCCAAGAGCCTTGACGGCCGCAGAGCTCAGAGCCTGCGGTGCTTCCGACTGGCGAAGTCTCATGCCCGCCGTTCGCGACATACTCTGGAATATGCGAGAGAAGGGAGAAGTAGAAATACTCCAGAAAGGATCGTTGGTGCCTCAGGGTATTGAGTTAGGCGACGTCAAGGGTCCAATACGTGCGAGAAAGGTCTCTTCAGCCCGAAGCTGAGGTGGCAGAGGATACACACCGTGTCAAGAATATTCGCAAAGATTTTTGGGGTCCCTCATTAATTGCAAAGAGTCTGAGTCATTTGTTGTTCATCAATCTGGCCGCCTTGCCCTGCCAGGCAGCGATGATCACGTGAGTCATCTTTTTGCACAGCCTTACTTTTATATCCATTCAACACTCTTTCTCCACACTTCTCCCATTCTATTTGTTCGCTTAAAGCACTGGTCCTTTGCTTGGTATACATCTACGGTACCATGACTACCTTCACTATTCCCCAAGACTTCCTGTCAGGCCCAAGTCCACAGGTCCAAAAGAGCGACGTGGACTTCAGGTATACCGAATTACCAGAATATGAAGGCCGCTATGCTACAGTCCTTGACAATGTCTTCACAAAAGACGAATGCGATACCCTCGTTCGGGCTGCTGAAGCCCAGAGTAATGGCACCTGGGAACAAGCCATGATCAACATCGGAGGAGGCGCGCAAGCATTGATGACAGATACCCGAGACTGCGGCCGCATAATCTGGGATGACACAGAGGTGGTCGAGAGGATCTGGTCGAGGGTCAAGGATTTGGTTCCGGAGATTGAGTCTCTGAAGGGCATGGCTAGAGTGACAGGGAATGGACCTGCCATGCGGGGCGAGACGTGGAAGATGACCCGACTTAATGAGCGCATGAGATTCCTGAAGTATGGCGCGGGCCAGTACTTCAAGCGTAAGTCTTATCTATCCTCGTCAACCATATATGCACTAACTCCTTCAGCACATAACGACGGCTGCTATGTGACTCCGGACGGCAAGGAGATCTCGTTCTACACCCTCCATCTCTATCTCAATGAGTCAAACCCCACCAACAAGCTCCAAGGCGGAGCGACGACGTTCCACTCATATAACATGCAACGCTCGTTAGATGTAGACCCAAAGGTAGGCAGGGTGCTCATCTTCCAACACCGAGACCTGCTGCACTCAGGCGCAGATGTTACAGGCGGCACCAAGCTAACTTTGCGAACGGACCTCATGTATGGGAAGGTGAAGAAATGAAGGTGTAAGCTGCGTGTATGGTACAGAAAAGCTCCTGCTTGAACCAAATTTTGTACAGAAGAGTGGAGGAGTGGATAGATAGCCCAGTACCTAATACAAATCGTACATAAAAACGCCCACGCTCAATGCTCTATCCCAAGCAAATGCCAAACAGCCAAACCTCTCCAGCAACCCACTCTAGTACGCATCCAGCCAGAAAGCCCACACCCCCCCATTCCTCATTCAACCACACCTCCCATCCCCCCCCCCGTCCTCCACCTCTCCTCCCACCTCGCGCACTCAAACTCCCGCTTCCCCAACTTCCGATTGACCTCGTTGTGCGCCTCGCACATCCAGCGCCCCAGCCCCTCCCGCCCCTCCACCCGCGGCGCGTTGCCCCCCCGCCCCATCCACGCCCGGAAGTCCTCGGCGCACGGCCAGCACGGGTACAGGCGCGCGAAGAGGGCCAGGAACTGCCGCATCTCCGCCTGCTGGGCCGCCGTGGCGGCGGGCGGGTAGGCGGCCGAGAGCGCGTGCAGGAAGGTCCAGGTGGAGCGGCCGAGGGCGTCGACGTCTGGGGGGCAGTCGGGGGGTGGGGAGGGGGGGGAGGTTGGGGGGGCGGGAGGGTCGGTGGTGGCGGCGGGGGTGGTGTCTTTTCTGGTCATGGCGGCCCAGGAGGAGAAGGAGGTGCAGGAGCGGCAGCTGGGGTGGTGGTTAGCTCGTTCGGGATCATCTGGTTGATGCGGTTGCTGTTTGCGGGGAGCGGCTGAACGCACGGTTTGCCATCTTTACCCAGCACTACGCCCTTGGGGATGGCTTTCTTTTCAGGAGCGGTGGGGTCTTCGGGGTCCGCTGTGGGCTTCTGATTCGTCTTCTGTATACCGTTGAAGAATTTGTCCATGGCGAGGATAGGGGCACAAAGGGAAGAGAGAGAGAGAGAGAGCGCGTATAAACAGTACGAGTATTCAACGGCTAAATCTCGGCGCCTTGTCTCCGCAAAGAAAAAGAGAATGCCATGACCTCGAAGCTTCAGTCGGCCTGGCCCTTTCATATAGCTAGATAATTACCAACTATTTGCGCGCCAGATACAACAATGTCCACGACTGCCAACTCTCCCACTCCACCAATACCGATCCTCCTCCTCAAATCCCCCTCCCCCACCCCCGCCTCCGACGCCTACACCCTCCACCTAACCCCGCCCTTCCGCCCAACCTTCGTCCCCGTCCTATCCCACACCCTCCTCCCCGACCCCCTCATCAAACTCCTCCTCACGCACTTCACTCCCAACCCCTCCCCCGGCCACCTACCAGATCCCAACCCGTTCCCCTACGGTGCTTTGATATTCACATCCCAGCGCTCCGTCGCTGCGTTCGCTTCCGCGCTGAATGCGCCGCAGGTGGTGAAGATTAGGGAGGAGGTGGCGGACGGGCTGGGTGGCGGTGGAGTACGATTGTATGTGGTGGGGCCGGCGACGGGGAGGGCGTTGAGGGCGGTGCGGGATGAGAGGTGTGCTGGGTGTGGGATTCATGGGGGTGAGGAGGCGGGGAGCGGGGAGGTGCTTGCTAGAATTATGTTGGGAGAAGGGGAGGGGAAAGAGGCGTATAGTTTGCGAGAGAGGGAAGGGGGAAGCATGAAACCGGCACTGTTCCTCGTGGGGGAGAAGAGGAGGGATATCATACCGCGCATGCTTATGGATCCGAAACTGCCAGAAGGGGAAAGGATACAGGTTGACGAGATGGAGGTTTATAAAACAGGCGAACTGGAAGAATTCGAGTTCCATTTCACTCAAACGCTAACCCGAACGGAACCCGAGACGGTAAGGTGGGTCGTGGTGTTCTCGCCCACGGCCGGGGAAGGCATGTTGAGAGGTCTCGGATGGCTTGACAAGGCGAGTGAGAGGGTCAAGGCCTGTATAGGGGACCCGGGCAGGAGGACGTTCGTGGCCTGTATCGGACCGACGACGAGGAACTATCTGGTCCAGGAGTTTGGGTTTGAACCTGATGTGATTGCTCAAAAGCCGAGTCCGCAAGGTGTGAAGGAGGGGATTGAAAGCTTCATGAAGGAGAGGGCGCCATAAGCATCTCTCCGCTGCATCTAGATCCAATCGGTGAAAAAAGAATAATCGAATGCTCAAGTTAATTCGCTATCCTTCTTTTGACATACCCACGTATACAAACCCCACGTATACAAGCACACACAGCCACTCAAGCCGAGATTCAAAATGGTAAGGAAAGTCCACATATGCACGCGGATGCTAAAAGACATATCGCCTAGGCCGATTCTTTAGCACCGAATGAGATCGGGAGAGCAACATCTATCGTCACCAGCCGAGATATGACACCTAGACATGATTTTGTCTTCAACTGTCCAAATCACGTCGTCCAAATCGCATCATCATTAAAGGATCCTATCTCATGATTTCTGCAAAGATCAACTCTGCATTACAGTCAGCATCGAGGCAGTGCACGGATGATAGACAGCCTACGTTTCAATTCCTCCTTGGTTAGCGTATCTTTGTTCTTGTCGAAGTCGAAGAACTCCTCGGGGATGGCTTCTGCGGTTGGCTCATCTTCTGGATCGTGATATGGCTCCAAGTAAGGGTGCCGCAACGCCTCTTCGACGGTGATTCTCTTCACAGGATTGAATGCGAGAAGCTTCTCTAACAGATCCAAGGCAAGATCGGAGGTCTTGGGGAACATCGCTTTCATTGGGATCTTCTTCTTGAATGGCAGAGAGCGGATGTATTCCCGCGCACGCCGAGACTTGATCCCATAGTAGTCCTCCATGGTTGGGGTGCCGAGAACGTCGAGAATGAGTGTCAACTGGTGGTGGTCTGGCACTTATCAGTAGTGCTGAAGGAAAGGCACGCGGTAGATACTTACAATCCTTTCCGGGGAACAGAGGCTTGCCATTCAACATCTCCGCCAAAATGCATCCCACACTCCATACATCAATGGCTTTCGTGTATTCTTTGAACGTAAGCATGATCTCGGGCGCGCGGTACCATCTCGTTGCGACGTATTCAGTCATGAATCCTGAGTTGTCTTCGGTAGATGCTGCAGATCTGGCAAGTCCAAAGTCACAGACCTTCAAATCGCAGTTGGCATTGAGCAAAAGATTGGAAGGCTTGAGATCGCGGTGGAGGACGTTCGCTGAATGCATGGCCTTCAAAGCACGTAGCGTCTGATAGATAAAGTACTGGCAATGATCATCGGACAAGTCTTGAGTGCGAATGACACGGTGCATATCTGTCTCCATGAGTTCCTTGGAGGACATTAGCACAGTGCTGACCCTTCGTGTGCAGTCATGCTTACCTGAATTAGGTAGACTTCTGAAAATGTATCGTAGTTCCTTGGCTTCTGAATATCAAGGATAGAGATGATGTTTTCGTGGTTGAAATAGCGTAGCAGCTTCATCTCTCGTAATGTACGGAGGCAAAACATGGAGTGGTCGAAAGGAGTGATCTTCTTGATTGCTACCTTCTGGCCTGAAGGTTTGTGGAGCGCAGAACTTCTGAGTCTCAGTACATGCTGTCCCAGAGCGTTCTCGCCGTACGGTGGCTTACCACACAACGCCGTAGGCACCCTCTCCCACGACATCTTGAATGTCATATTGATCAGAGACATTGAAGGAGATCTTTCTAGACCCGCCTGGTGGCGCTGGTTGCTGACGTGACATTGTGCGTTGCGAAGTCAGGCTTCACAAAAGATGATTGCGACGAGGATGAGTGTTGGGTGAAGATGTAATTCTAGAAGGCGCCGTTGAGAGGTACGAATGGCCGCTGTACGAGTAGAAGAGTCAGTCAAATAACCTTTCAAAAGATCTTGGTGAAGTGAGAAGGTTCTGTGTTTTCTTAGCAACCTGTAAGATGTAGAGTCATAAACAGCTATGAAGCGTTGCTTTGAAGCATTAAGAGATTCAGGGCCAAAGTTTCAGGATGCGCAAATGTTATGTAGGGTACGGGAGACCAAACATATCTTGCAACAGATGTCGGCGCCATTTCTCCAACAAGCGGCCAGGAGCAATGAACTAGATCGGCAGCAGTCGCGGTCGAAGAATGCAAGTCACGCGGGATCATTTGCTGTGCAGCTCACCTAGCGTAGCGAATATGAAGCTTATAACCGATGATCTTCTTCTAAACACGGCCACTGTAAGCTCTGAGTGTTCTGGTAGACTGGAGTTGCTCGCTTGTGCTTTTGGACAGGTGCTCGGTCGTCTTCGGTGCGGGGTCTTTCTATATTAGGCTCTCTGACGAAGCTGCATGGAAGGTGGGCGGTGTTTCAATTCTTGACAATGAAATTTGAGTCGCTGTCTTTGACGGTAGATCAATGCTTCGGCTTGCTAAAAGGGTATCGGAAGTCGTGGTTGTCTGCGGTAGCTGGGAAGGCTGAGCCTCTGGGGCTGAAGTTTGGGGAACGGCAAAGGATCCGAGGCTATATGCACTGCGTCTGTCGGTACTTTTAGAGTTTGTTTCCTTCGCTATCGTGGTATGCACTGAAGCAACGTGACGAGAAGTGAGGCTGAAGGGAAGGATTCTGGTACCTTTCTTTGTGCTGCCTTCAGCGTGAACCCCTCCAATCAGATTCGGCCTGTGTCTCCGGACCAGAAACCGTTGAGGTGCTTGGAGCAGCCAGAGACGCGCAGAGCTACTGCAGTAAGACTCTGACTCTATAACAGTGCCTCGTTGTTTCAGAGTTGTTGCAGTGGTGGTGCTGCTGACTGAGTCAGGTACACAAAGGGCAGCGTCTACGCATGACGCTAGTGGTGGGGAATGTCCAAAAACAGCTGCACGGGGTTAAGCGCCGAGCGCCGCATTGCCGGACAGTATTGGCACCACCAGGCACCACTGGCTTGCTTACCTTGCGTTACTTTATTCTATTTCTAGAATCTTTCTAAAATTGGGGGACATGCTATTGGCTAAGGTGTTCAAGAGAGAGATTATCCTACGGCTTACATAATAGTAGATAATCTGGTTGATCCTGAAACCTGCCGAGCCTGCCAAGGGACAGATCTCGCGGGCGAGACGCTCGGACAGATCTCCACGCTGGACCGTTGCTTGTAATCTGGTAGCGAGCTTGCGAAACAAGGCGAACCTTGTATTGCCACGAGGTCAAACTCGCCTTTATTAGATTTAGCATGCATGTTCGATATGTAGACAATGTGCATCAAGTTGACGTCTTAGACGAGCCGGCAGTCCCATATGGCTGAGAAACCATAGGATTGGCACTAATGCCCAAGATTGAGGGAGCAACAAGCGCTGCATAAATCATGTCAGGCCAGCTTTCATTGGAATGAACTCAAAAATCCTTCTGGTTCATTCATCTATCATTGAGAGATCTATCGTCAGTGAGTGTCGCGGGAAGTTTGAGATCGTGGGTACTAACCTTTTCCCTCATAGTGCCCAACCATTGGGCCAGACTGACGCCTTGGTCCGCCCTGTCCTCCACGAGCATGGATTGGGCCCACAGTCTCATTCCCGGCTCGCCATCTTCTCGTACCACATACAGACTCGGTACGACGATGCTCCCAACCCCCTTGCTCCTGTGGTCCCGACTCTTCTCGACGATGGCTCTGACCCGCTCATTGAAGTCGTTGTCGAGCACCGGCAATGTCGTCTTGCCTACCTTCAGTTGTGTCCGATCTGGCACTTCGAAGACATCTTTGACCAGCTGAGAAACAGCTTCGCGGCCCACCCAAAGAAATTGCGTTTGACCATCATCAATTAGGTAAAGCCCATATGGAACGAGACTCTGGGAAGAGAGGTTGATCGCGGGCGGTAGAACGATGTCACCATTTTCTTCGTCGGGCAGGCCAGCACTGTCGGGCATGTCGTGCAATGAATACATTCTAGGGTATATAAACTGAATAAGGAGTGGTAACGGCAAGGTCGAAAGCTGACACAAGGCAGCGGAGCGCATATCGCTTGGTATTTGCGCAGATTGTCGAAGGCCAATCTGTACACAATGAGCATTTGACTCCCTCTCTCAGGGTCATGTGGGCTTGAACGCACATTTTTTATTAATCCCAGGAAAAGAACGGGCAAGCATCTCAAATTCGTGGGGAATTGCAGGCCACCACCTCCCATATTGCCACCAGCTAATTCTTTCCGGTATGTCTGTAGAAGCTCAATAAGCTTAGCTCGTAGCGCATCTCGTGCAGGTTCTAGTCCGCTGCCCAGAGCACGCTCCACGGCTTTGTGACTGAAGACTGTAGCAATCGCTGCTTGGTCTGCAGAGGCGTAAACATCCGCAAGTGACTGAGTGGTGGGCAGGGCAAGGGTCATAACTCTGATTCTTCTTTCACCATTGCATGTCGTGTGCAGTACAGCACTTTGTAAGCAGACAACGCCCTTTGTCAATGACTCGTCGATAGCAACTTCAACTACGTAGCCCTGGTCTCGAGGGAATGCAGGGAATGCACAGAGATCCGAACTGCGATTAAAGAAATTGCCGTAGAAGGTACTCATCCGCAAGCCAGTAGTAGCTCTAACACGGAGCACAGCTTCGAGGCCAATCTCGGCTGACAAGTAGTCAGAGAACTCCCGCGCAAATTTGATTGCATCTTCGCTTCTTGCCGCATTCCATCCTGGGTAAAAGTATGTTTGACCTCCCGTGTATCTTGGTAGGTTGCTCAAAGACGCAACGTCTTGGTACTGAGATGAGAAAAGGAACATATCGATAGATACTTGATTCTTCGAGCATTCAACCGCAAAGCTCTTGTAGAAACTGTTTGCAGTCTGTAAAAGACTACTCTCCTTGCTGGTTCCAAGAATTTTCTTGTCTTCTCTCATCTCAAGTTTCCCTTGCCCAAGGTTCGGAAGGCTTGCAGTTAGAACGGTAAGCTTTCCGCCCACGGGAGATATGAGCTTATGACCAGCTCGCAGTGCGGATCCCATGCAGGAGCCAGTGTTCTGAGTATTCTGGAACATCTCTTGGAGCTTTCCCAAGAAGTTTTCGATGTTCTCTCGACACTCAGTTAGTGTAACCAGTAGATCGACAGGTGTTGGCAAGAAGGGCTCATCAAGATCGCTGACGACCATCATGCTTGGCTCACCATTCTCGCTGTCATCGCGAGGGATGGAGAAGTAGTGCAGGCTCGAGTCTACGGCCATGAATCCAAGCCTCGTTCGTCGATCAGCATTGGGGATGCGGTCCAAGCTCTCAAGAATGCAGCGAGCTCCTGTGGCTAGCAGACCGTTGGTTACGGAATTATAGCTGACATCGAAAAGGAACAGGTAGACTAATGGCTGAGGTGGGCGGACCATGTATTCTTGAGGTGCTACAAATTCCACAACAGAGTGGTTGAGTTCGGGCCTTGACCATCTGTCTAACTGCTTTTGCGCGGCTGCATCCCAATCAAAGGCTTGTGGAACCTCATTTGTGAGATTGCACATATTACACCGCCATCGATGGCCTTGGTCTAGAAAGGTCGCGAACGGGTTGATGTATGATCGGCAACGTCTACATCGAGCGATAACCTGGTCAGGGACAACCGGAACTGGGTCTTCATGATCGTGCAATGAGCTATAAGGTTGTATGACCAGTGCGAAGGGTAGTTTAGACTTCTTGAGCAATGAGTGCGTTGTTGGGACAGCGTTGAGTGTAGAGCGAACGTATTTCGGGGAGCAATTAGCATCTGGAGAAGGAGTGACGCTGGACTACTAATGTCAGCGGTGAATGACTTAATTTGAGATTATCGTGTACTCACATTGGGTGGCAGATTTATCTGTGGTGGAGGGCGGCTAAGTTCAGAGACATCCAAATGTTGGTTCAGGAGATCAGTTGGTACGAGCTGATTCATCGCAGGACGTCCTTGCACCTGTCCCTGCATCGGCACAGGTACATTTTGCCCTTGGCCGCCCATAACAAGATTGTTCATACCCTGAGTGACCCCTGCCATACCTGGTTGCGCAGGGGGTACTCCATGTGTAGGGTAAGCTGGGTCGGGAGGCTGGTAGCCACCAACAGCAGGAGACGGCTGTCCGTAGCCAGGGGCTCCTCCCATGCCAGGCGAGGCCGGATTCGATCCATAGACTGGTCCTGGATATCCTGGCTGCGGTTGTGGTTGCATGCTAGGTGGTCCGGGATACGCTCCCCCACCTTGTTGCTGCCCGCCTAGCGCCGAGTTTGCACCTCCCCCAAAGTCATACGCTTGCCCAGCATAGTTGCGTTTTCTTCGACCTCCAGCAGTGGATGCTGGTAGGCCGCCTTGTGCGTGAGGCACATTCTCTGGGGCCTCTTGCTGGTTGGGGTCATATTGCTCTTGCTGGTATTGCTCGTGGCCTGGTTGACCATCGGGAGGGTAGCCCGGCTGTGGGGTTGCCATGATCGGGCTCGCCCAGTGCCAAGTGATCTCGTCTGTCTCCGAAGCTGCAGGTTGTGGGTTGAGAGGTACCTCAGGCTGTTCGAGGGGCTTTTTTTCTTTCGAGATTTCCAAGCCTGTCCACACTTTGGGTCGGCTTTCTGGGCAGATCGCTAGAGGCAGTATATAGGGACAGCGAATGTGTGAGTACTCAAAGGAATAAGAAGGGACGAGCCTGGCGCCTTGAGCATTCGGAACGCTACTCTCTGTTTTTTAGACTTGAGATCTGTAGCTTAGCACTTGGCGAGACTCTGTCCGCTGACTAAGCTTAAGCTAGATCTCTTGGCGGCCTCGCGGCGTACAGCTGTCATTCTGTGAATGTTGACCAGAGCATGCTAGACCGTGCATACTCGACATGGCACAGGCGTCGAATGTATACGTTTCCGACCACTCGGAGTCGGTCTTGAAGTCTCACAATTTACGTACGGCTGCCAATTCAGCTGCATACCTCCTGAATTCCATTCTCCCAAATATGCAAATCTGTGACATAGGTTGTGGTCCAGGATCCATCACGACTGACCTTGCTGCATTGGTACCTAATGGTCAAGTTGTCGGCATCGATATGGGACAAGACGTAGTCGAAAAGGCTCGCTCAACGGCTGCTGAGCGCGGTATCAAGAATGTCAGGTTTCAAGTTGGAGATGCACATGCTTTGGACTTTCCAGATCACACTTTTGATGTTGTCCATTGTCATCAAGTTCTAAACCACATCGCTGGCCCTGCCAATGCACTGCGCGAATGGCGTCGAATTACAAAGCCAGGTGGCCTCGTGGCTTGCCGCGAATCAGATTTTGATTCTGCTACCCACTACCCTGAGATCAAAGGGGTCGCCGACTTCAAGGACGTATATATCAAAACGGTCAGATCCCGTGGTGGTGAACCGAACGCGGGACGCCATATGGTTGCATGGGCTCGCGAATCAGGCATTGACCGTTCTTGCATTACTGCTAGTGCAAGTGTCTGGTGTTTTTCCAGCCCAGAGGAAAGAGGCTACTGGAGTAAAATGTGGGCCGATCGCCTACTAAACTCGTCGCTTGCCAAGAATGTGATTGACGGTGGCTTTGCCACTCAAGAGGACATTAATTGCTTTGTCCAGGGTTGGCGGGAATGGGAGACCGACGACGATGGTTGGTACACTTTGACTCATGGGGAAATCCTTTGCCGAGTGTAAGACGATTAGTACCCTTATCATCCAACTTCAGATTGTGAGAAAGCGTCGTCGGGTCTCAGAATCTAGTTAATGGACGAAACGAGCACCAGGTCTAATGGGTTTTCTTTGTCAGATAGTTTATTGACCAAGCGCCTTCGAACTTTCATTGTATTTGCTCAAATCTGCCTTGGCTTTGCTAGAATGCTTTACTTCTCTTCCAAAATAATAGCCGCAAGCCTGAATAATTGACGATAGACTCCATGTGTTGAGTCTGCAGGACAGGGCCAGCAGGCAACAAGTCGAAAATAGGCAATTGACTGTTGAAGCGCTCAGATTCCTAGACATCGACGATATCAACACCGTTAAGAATACCGCTGTTTGCTTTTCAGCCTGGGGTGGTAGCGTTCTTGAACGACAAATTTAATAAGGAAGATATCCGAATTCGACTCAGAAATAGGAGGACAGCGTACGGGGCTGCAACTCTTCCCGGACAGCTTGCTTAGTTGCTTGCCAATCTCAGCAACACCGACGGAAACTGTTATAAGCATGATTTGAGCGGGCCCAAGGCTTTATTACGCAAGAAGGCCTCTCCCGTTAAAAATCTGGCCGCCTTACCAGCCGACGGTTGCTTAAATGAGTCTGTTTGCTCAACGTCTGCAAAGTTGGCAATTCTGGCTTGGTTGAGGTCATTGGAGACGAGACTGCGCACCTCTGAATGTGTCTTCAGTCAATTGTACTGCTCCTCACTGTAGACGCTGCTGTTTCCATACACTTGGCAACCTGCACTGGTGATGTTGAAGCGGCCGATGAGAGGATGGGCCTTAAATAGGAAGAGTTTCCGTATCGATAAAAGTTGATAACTGCCATATGGTACGAGTGTACTACCACGCATAGTACGAGTAGACTTGTCGTACTCGGCCACCGTAGTCGTATGCCCGAGTGCGCCAAAGATTTTATTTCGACAGTGAGTACTGGGCTTTCTACTCGGAAGAATAGGTTCTGCTGTTTCGCCTTCATGGAATTTTTACTTCTACGAACCCCCTGACACGGGGCAAAAGTAAATATGTCAGCGCCAGTACTTCCCCTCCAGCCTGTCAAGCTGCCTCCCGGACCCTCGCCTTTGACCCCAGAGCAAACATATTGGCGCACTTTCAAATCACAGCAGCTCGTGCCCTCGCCCTCAACCAACCCAATCACTCACATCTCCAGCCCCATACCTCCATCAAATGCCCTCGCTCAAGCGTCAGACCACTTCGCAGTCACAACCGGAACTCGTGTACAGATCTTCTCTGTCCGGAGCCGCAAACTTGTGAAGACTATATCTCGCTTCGACGACATTGCCCATGGCGCCGAGGTCAGACGTGATGGCCGTGTCATGGTTGCTGGAGATGAGGGCGGCACAATACAGGTCTTCGATGTTAATTCAAGGGCTATTCTCAAAACTTGGAAAGAGCACAAGCAGCCGGTGTGGACCACCAAGTTTTCGCCTACAGAGCCAACAACTTTGATGAGCGCGAGCGACGACCGCACTATCCGATTGTGGGATCTCCCGAGTCAGGATAGCACAACGACATTCGTTGGTCACCAGGACTATATCAGAAGTGGGGCGTTCATGCCAGGACAAGGGTCTGGGCTTCTGGTTTCTGGAAGTTATGATCAGACAGTTAAGCTGTGGGATCCTAGAGCTCCGTCAAACGCAATCATGACGTTCAAACATGGAGCTCCTGTTGAGGAGGTGTTGCCCATGCCATCTGGAACCACCATACTTGCGGCTGCAGACAACCAGATATCAGTGCTCGATTTGGTTGCAGCACGGCCTCTACAAATATTGAAGAACCACCAGAAGACCGTCACATCCTTATGCTTAGCCTCGAACAACACAAGGCTTGTGAGTGGAGGATTGGACGGTCACTTGAAGGTGTTCGAGACTACTGCTTGGAATGTGGTGGCCGGGTCGAAATACTCATCGCCTATACTCTCATTATGTGTCATTAGCGCTGGTAATGCGCGGGAAGATCGTCATTTGGCAGTGGGTATGCAAAATGGAAATCTCTCAATCAAGACACGGCTGTCTGGACAGCAGAAGGTCAAGGAAAGGGAACGGCAAAAGGAGATGCAAGCATTGATCGAAGGCAATATTGAAGAACTTGATAGGAAGAGAGCAAAGAAGAGGCCGAAGGGATTGGAGAAACGCTTCAGAGGTCAGGACTTCACTGGCGAAGGCGCAGACATCATCATCGAGGGACGAACCAAGGGCAATTACAAACCCAAACCGTGGGAAGCTCAACTACGAAAAGGGAAATACGCAGCAGCTCTAGACGAAGTGCTACAAGGCCAAAATCTCACTGCAACGACAACCCTCCTGACCGCCCTCCGTCACCGTTCTGCAACAAGGACCGCATTATCCGGTCGAGACGATGTATCCCTCCAGCCCATCTTCAAATGGGTATGCAAGCACATCACAAACCCTCGATATGTCAACCTGTGCGTCGATGTAGGCATGCTCATCCTCGACCTCTACTCATCACACATGGGGGAGTCTCCTGAGATAGATCGACTCATGGCACGACTACATAAAGTGGTTCGCGCGGAAGTGGAGAGGTCACAGCAAGCTTGGCAAACAGAAGGAATGCTCGGGATGCTCGTCAACTCGGTGGGTTGAAGCTGAACATCTGAATGGCCTCGGTATCAATCTTTCGTACCATTCACCAGGAATACCACTGCCGTAAATGCGAAGAAGAGGGCCCGCTTGAACACCGTGGTATCCGAGCTTGATCAGTAACCCGCTTTTGCAGATGCTGGCTGGCGGGTATGCTGGGGGCGACGACGAGGAGTTCTATCGGAAGAGAGATGCACACGCTCCCGGGGTCGAGATGTGAGTTGATCCGTCGATCCGCACAGTCTTATTGAAGCGATGAAGTCGAAGGCTGACAGGTGGATAGGGGTGTTGCATTGAGGATGTCGCTCAAGCTGCCCTCTTCCTCGCTATCGATGAGGCGCGAATACAGTGGACCTGAGATCTTGGTTCACGATGGTCTCATGGACCTTGACTAGCTACGTAGATTCAGACATTTCAATCAAAATTCTCATCGAATGACCCTGGCTCACGACGTGCCGCGAACGTTCCAATGCATGAGAACTCCATACTATTGAAGCTACATGCGTCAGAGCCAGGTTCCCAATCACGTGAAAGCCGAGTCTATAAGATGTTCGGGTATGTTCAAACGAGGGAGATTCAGGCCTCGGAGGTATACAGCATTAGAGCGTACGCCGGTTGAAGCACCGCGTCTTGCCCTTCAAGATGCACCACATGTCCAGCAAAATACCCCCCCCCCCAGATATCGCTCAAGCTCCGCAACGCCTCGCTAATGCAATCATCATTCATCACTTGGTCGACCTCGTCTTATGTATGCATCTTGCCAACCATATCCTTTTGCTGCAATATCGTGTATTAGTCCACTTCAACCGGCCTGATTCAGCTCCCTGTCCATCACCTGCCTCCATCTCGGCCCGAATCTCCTCATGGCCCAAATGACGGCGCTACTCGCCGTGGCAATGACACCGACCCCCGTGAACAGCCACCCGTTGCCGATGGCACTGATCAACGGCTGCGCGACGATGGCTCCCACGCATGAGAAGATGTTCCGCACAAAGTTGTTCACCGCGACGCCGTTGGACGCCTTTTTGGGCATGAACTCGGTGAGCATCGTCGTCGCCATGGCAAATATGAGCATGGAGCCGATGCCGAAGAAGAAGTTCGCGACCAGGGGGACCAGCCAGAAGATCCCCTTTTCGGCGGTCCAGCCATACCAAACGAGTGCTGACGGATAGAGGAACGCAGCGATCCAGGCGTTCTCGCGCATTCGATCTTCGGGTCGGTACATCAATTTGCCCTTTTCATCGTAGCGGCCAGCACGCTTGGCTTCTCGTGCCATGATCTTGTCCGTCCATTTCCCGCCAAAGAGGGAGGCGAGGACGTAGCCAATGGAGTTGGGGATGTAGGTCAGGCCGACGAGGGTGGTGGAGAAGTTGTAGGGCGGCTTGGAGAAGGTGGTTTGGAGCGAGACGTTGAGGAGATACAGCGACCCAAAGGTGATGCTAGCGTAGTAGACGGTGATGAGGACGGCAGGGAAGCGGAGGTAGAGAATGATCTTCAGGGGGTCGAGGAAGATGCGTTTGGCCGTCTTGATATGCTTTGCTGTTTTGCGCTGGACGCTTTGGCGGGATGTGGTGCGGGCTAGGTTAGGGCCGTCGGAGGCGAGGTCTTTTTCGGTCTCTGAAGAGGGCGATTTGGTGGCTTTAAGCGTCTGAAGAGGTACCATTAGGAAGATGTAGGATAGAGTGAGTACAGAAGGCTCACTTCTGGTAAGGCGAAGAAGAGGAAGACCAGCACCGCTCCTCCATAGATCGCAAGAAACCATTGAGTGCTCCTCCAACCGAATTTCTCAGCCAAAGCGCCACCAATGATTGGCGCGAATAGAGGTCCGCACAATGGCCCAAGATAGAATATGCCCATTGCTCTTCCCCGTTCTCTGACTTCCCAAACATCAGCTATCGTACCAGCCCCTACTGCCTGCACGCTGGCCGCTGCTCCGCCGCCCAGTACACGCATGATGATCAGCATGGCAATGTCCTTTGACACCGCCGAAAGGATGTTGAATAGTAAGAACAGCGTGAATGATGTGAGGTATATGGTCCGTCGCCCTAGGGTCTCTGAGAATGAAGACCACCAAAGTGGGAATATCGACATGGAAAGCATATACAAGGCGGCTGAGAGATTCGTGATTGTGGGAGAGGTGTGTAGGTCGTCTGAAATTTGAAGAAGTGAAGCTAGGGGTCATTAGCCAGAATTGCTATGCTTTCGTCGAGAATCCTACGGAATATAATAGCGCTCCCCATTGGAGCAGCCACGGCTGCCAGTGCAACAACAAAGGTTATGTACCATTTGGTTCTTCGAGGGTAGTGCTTCGGTTCCTCGACTTCTGCCAGAATTGAAAAGCGTCCGAAGAGGCCTCGCCGCT